TGGATCCTCCTTACATATGCCTCACCAACAGTTATTCTACAAGAAAAACAAAGTATTATGAGATTTCTGGAAGCAAACTGTTGAACATGTGTCAGCCACGACATGCTCTGTGTCACTCCCCAGTAACTGCAGTGCCCCACTGGGATGAAAACAAAACCCAATCATAAAACCCACTCATCACTCAAATACATAATTATTTATCTGCAATGCAAGGCAATCTACTGAGTTACTACTTAGCCACTTGTAAGAGCAGAACCCAAATAAAGAATTGGTTGAGCAGACACATGAAGGATGAAGTTACAACAGGTTTTACTGCTGAACATCAAACAAGGTCCACCAACAGCACAGGAGAAGGCAGAGCACATCACGCAAGTAAAAGGCACAGTAAGCACAAGACTTGACAGGTAAGGAAACACAGCAAGAAGGTCACTGCAGGAAGCATAAAAATCTCCTATCTGGCTATCTTGAATAGTCAAACTGAAGGACGTCCCCTTAATGTGTTCCATTACTGTGATCAGTTAATTTGTAAACTACGCCTGCAAAGTGTTTCTTCAGTGTTCTGAATTCAGTCTAGCCTTCTACTAAGATTGGTTTGAAAAACTGCTAACTGAGGCTCCCTTGGTAGAAGAGTCAGATTCACACTGGGGAAAAAAATTGGTTATAAAGAGCACTAAAGATAGGACAGCTTGTCACAGAAAAAAAGAAATTACAGAAATTCTGACTGATTTCAAATGGAAGACCTTTACCTCAGCACACTTTCAATACTGCATGAGCTACAGTCAGTCTGAAGGCTCTTCTTCTGAGCACAGAAAATGGATTGTGTTGTTCACCCTTCCTTGATTACAGTGGTCTTTCCTAAGTTAATAAAAATGTTTCTGATAACAACATATGCTCCTTTCTGTCTAGAAATTTTCCCCATTCTCATAAATTATCTGAGGTGGCTCAGATTTACTGACTTACCAACAAATACATAAAGCTGCCTAAAGGGCCTCTGAAACACACACACACAAGCAAACAAACAAATCTCAACAAAGCCCAGTTCCAGACACAATTGTCTTGAGATATTTTTCTGCTGAGGCACATTAACCACTATAACAACAACATACTATAATTAGACAGAACTCTAAATCCTTTCTTTGCAGTTCCCTCTAGGGAAGAAAACACGGACATAAGTACAATAAATTAGGACAAAAGAAAATAATGTGAAGGGGGAAAAAAAGTAAATTCAAATGTATAGCCCTTAAAAAGAAAAGTCTAGAGATTTGTTCTCATTACTCCAACACAGTGCCTCCTTCTCTTTCACCAATCTTCTTGTTCTGAGATTAAGTTAAAACACACATTATAAATTAGGCATGTGCTTATTTTCTCAATTCTTTCAGGCCACAAAAGAAGGAACATTTAGAATAGTCAGTTGTGGCTTTCAAGATGAAAGTCACAGATTTTGTGCTGCAAAATCCAAGGGAGGACTAATTTTCATTTACACTACCATGAAATTTAAACAGAAAACCCCATGCAAGATTGAGCTTTATTTCTTGTTTCAATAAAAAGTATCTTAACAAAGAAGTAAGCCTTACATTGACGGTGTGCTTTAAATATTTCCAGTAGATCTGATATCTCCACAGGCATACTGACATAGGGGAATACACCCTATGGGGAAAAGGGAATTAGAAACATAGCTTGTAAAGGAAGTCTGGTTATAAGCTTAACTTAAAAGACTTTTTCTACGTCAGGCCCATGGCAGGTACATGGAACAGGAAATAACATCACAACTTCTTGCCGTTTCTGTGTGTAACAGCTATATTAATAAATAAATAATAATGGCCAGTCTTCGCGAGCGAAGATCCGGGGAAGGTCTTTACACCTTCCAGCCTGCGCATTGGATTTTTTAGGTGAGACACAGTGTGCGCGGAACTGAGCCCACCCTTTAATCCTAAGGTTCATCTGCCGGGGCCAAGCGAGCTTGGACGGTGGCAGCGAGGTCCTTAGGACGTAGGTGGGTTGCCTTTTTAAGGGTTAACGAGCTCCATCAGCCCGGGAGTGGCCCTGACAGGGAATCGAACCCGGGCCTTGGTGGTGACAGCGCTGCGCCCTTACCACTAGACCACCAGGGGCTCCAATAGCTATATTACAACTTGCATATTATGGACAACTTCAAGAATTTGAAAACACTTCTACTCAGTTCTTCTTGAGCCTTCAGAGGACAAGAGTCCTACTGTCCAAGATTTCCACTGCAAACACCAGGGCTATAAATTTACTTTCCTCTTACTTATATGAAATTTGATAGCCTCATACAGACATTATGAATTCCGGAACACAGAAGGGGAAAAAAAAAAAGCATTGGAAGAATTACAACACTGCTAACCCCCTGTTTTATGCTTCCCAGACTAGGCCTCGTTTTCCCTCTTTTTGCTTGCAAAAGCACACAAATACTTTCATGCCGAAGGATCAGATCTAGTCTGTATTGCTATTTCAAAAAGTTGTAGTACACAATGGAAATCTCATTAGAAGTTTCAAGCCATCCTTTTCAAGGACTTCAAGTTTTCCACTTTGATTCCAAAGTTTGAACTGCTATTGTGAAGTTGTCATCATGTGATTATTTTTTGTCATGTCTTATTTATTTTTCTTCCCAGGTTTCAAATTAAATCACAACTCCTTACAGGTCAAGCTACCTGTAAGGAAAAATCCTCTCAACTTCATTCAGTTTAAATTCCATGTCAAAACATGAATGGCTCTCTACTTCTTCTCACTCCCTATGTCTAATTTCCTTCTTTGTTCTCATCTGCCTCCGTACCCACACCATTTTCTGTTCTTTACACACAGTTTTCCCCTGGACTGGACTCTCAACATTCAGCAGAGACACCCATCAATGAGTACAGTTGGTTAAACTAAATTGGAATGTGTTCATCCCCACACTCCTCCCTCCTCATGGTGTTTTTAACCACTTATTTGAAGGGGGAAATGCCCAAAGGATGTACTTTCAGTTTTCTACTTTCAAGCAACATTAGGACTACATACTCCAACAAGTTCTGAGATGTCAAATACATCCAATTTGATCTCTTATGTATGTAATCTCTAATCAATGCTTGACAATGCTCTTACATCACAGAATATACAACTCTGATATTCTAGGAGGAAGATTCCAAGATTTAGACACTGTGTGTAAAGATTTCTAAGGAGGGAAACGCTGCCCCAGAAACTGCCCATACGGGTTGACAAAATCATTGTTTTAGCTCACAGTATAGGAAGGGTAATGCTGCGCTATGATTTATGGCCATTGCAGGTAGGGCAGGAGTCAGTGTCTAGAGAAGTGCTGGAAAACAGCTGCAGTAGAAAGTTTCAGAAAGTGGGATCCTGCCAGTATCCAGACACATGTGCCCCAGGGATCCTTCTCACCACAAACCAGCACTGTCAGGGATTCTGATCTGCGCTAGACAGAACTGCATTCTGCAAAGCTGCCAACTTGTGTCCCCTCCTTTTCAAGAAAAAAGCAGCTACAATAAAAGCTGATACACAAATGTTCCTCTCTCACTTCATCAGGGAAGAATACTGATGCCACAGTTGGATGCAAGGACCCTGAACACAGTGAGGAGCTTACAAAACAAAGCTTGGTAACCTGTTGGTTGGATGTCATGCAGGCAACTAGGACAGCATCTAGATCCAAAAATTAGCCCATGCTTGTGGGTGGGATGCTTTTTATGTGACATGCTAGTGGCACACAAGAGCCGTGACAAAACATCTCCTGTTTTCTGGAGTACCTGCAGGGAGACTGGGGAGAAGGCAGACACAGTTAAAGCCAGAGCTTTCCAATAGGAAACACAAGACAGATCAATTTCAGGGAAGGTCTGTCCCATAGGGCTGATGGACATCAATGCAGCAAAAGGCACAAGACAAAGAGACTTACAGATCTTTAACGCACAGGACAGACCACAGAGACCATCAGGGAGATGCAGGGCTCCAAAAACTACCTGAAGCCATCCTGTCCCAGTTTCCTAAGGCTGGCCTGGGGCATTAAGCCACAGACAACTTAATGGACAAGCAAGTAAGCTCTACTCCATCTAGGAAAGGCAGCATCCCACGGCGCAAGCCACCTCATGCACCAGCCCACCAGGCATGTCCTATTCTAAGTTAATCATTGTTTTTAAGATGTTTTTAAGGTCTTCAACAGGATGGTCATGTTCCGAAAGCTCCCGTCCATCATTCTGGAGCAAGGAGTGGGGCAGTGCAGGCTGTCCACCGCCTCTCCGTGAGGGAGCAGCACCTGAGCCTCCTCACCTGTGCCCTCCCACGACAGTACTGTGTGTCAGCAGAACAGCTGAAGAGGCCCCTTCAGAGACATTCCATCCTCTCACAGAGATGGTGTAAGGGTCACTGTGGAAGCAGCGTGAGGAGCCGTGGGCTCTCCAGGGAGAAGATCGGACACTTGCGTCCCGGATAATTCCGACGCCGGGTGGTGGCAGCTCCGCTCGCACCCTGCAGGAGAGTGAAAACACGGGAATGGCGGTGGCTGGGAGACAAGGCACGACCCGGCTGGCCCGCCGCGGCCCCTCGCCGCGGGCACACGGAGGACGAGCCGCCCCGGCACCGCCCGCCCCCGGGCTGCGCCCACAGCCGGGACGGACCGTCCGCAACACGGCGGGACCGCCTGTCCCAGCCCGCCCCGCCATGGCGGCACGGCCGCAGGGCCCCGCGGCCTCCCGGGCGGTGCGGGCACAGACGGCCCGCGAAGGAGCCCCTCGCCCGGACCCCCTTACCTTCCCGCGGTGCGAAGGACGCGGCAGCGCAGCCGGCGCCGCTATTTAAGCACCTGCGGCCGGTAGCGCGGGGCAGGGCCGGGCCGGGCCGGGCCGGGGCAGCAGCGGCGCGGCAGCACCGCCTCCCCAGCGCCCCGCCCGGCCGCGGCCGGCCCGCAGGGATTGCGGGAGCGGCACGGGGGATGGTGGGGTCCTCCCGGCGCGCTGCGAGGCGGCCGCGGCGCGGTGCGGGTGTGTGCGCTGCCCGGCCGCGACACCGCCGGCGGGGTGGGCCGCAGCAAGGGTGCAGGGCGCAGGGCAGGCCTGCGGCGGGCACCGCTGGATCTCGAGTACGTGGCCAAGGTCTAGTGTGCCCCTGAAATACTGATGGCTTCGAGGTGAGGCAGGTGAGCGGCCCTCTGAGGGAGATAGTGCCACGTCTCCCACTTCAGGAGCCCGTCTTTTTTGTCATCACTTTAGACTTACCAATGTTTGCCTTACTTCCACACCCTTGGGAACTTGCTAGGCATTAAAGACAGGCCGAGCCTAGATATGACATGTTTGTTTCACTGTAGCAAATGTAAATGGGAGAAGATTCCTTCGTGCTAGGTACAAACAGTGTGGAGGAAGAAGGTGGCTTTGGAAGTTGAGACAAGGGAGCTGTGACAGGTAAGAAGCAGCTGTGTGAGAGGACAAGGAACCAGGGAAGGAAGATCAGGATGGGTGTGCCGCTTGTAAGTGGTATAGCAGCGTTAGGACTCTGGAGGAATGACACTGGGACTAAATCTTGCCCAGCTGGTTAGTGGCAGCCTGGTAGCCAGTGAGGTGAGGGAGAAACAGTTTGGGTTTATGCAAGTCAAAACAAGATGAGCCAGAACAGGGGTAGAGTGATGCCCAGAAAATAGACGTCAGGAGGAAAGGAGAGTGGATTAAAGTCTTGCTTGACAGGGAGATAGTTTGGCCGCATGGTAAGATTGGAAGGAAATAGTGTATGTAGGTTTTTGGAGGCAATCTGGATTTGGATAGAGAACTAGGCAAAACTTGGAATTAAATTGATAGTTGAGGAGCGTATGAAAATATACATTGGGTGTAGGAAAGAGCATGTAATGGATTAGAAGACTTCAGGCTTTCCAGAGCTGTACGTTCCTGAGTGTTAGTGACTCTTTGTTGTCTCAACTGTTCTATGTCCCGACTCAGCTACCACCGACTGGAAGGTGACTTCAGTTATGAAATGCTTCCGATACTGCTGTGAAGGGTCTGATGGTAAGGAGAAACTGGGAACTAACAATTCTTGTGTTCTGTAGTGAGGAAAATATTTCAATGAAGAAAAGACCAGGGCATTTAAAAAAAGCCTGAAGAGAATGAAAGAAAGTCAGCACTGCTTGTTAGAAACACAAGATGAAGATTAATTGTTGCAAAGAGTGAGAGAGCATCAGAATGTAGAATCAGACTATTTATGATGCCTGACAACAGTGACATATGGAAATTTACTTACGTTTATATGTCAGTTTCCTAATACCTGATTCTGGTTCTGTTGTTTTTCCAACATAGAGCTTAAATAATTAATAAAAACATTTCAGTATGAAGTACTTTGTCAGGCCAAGCTTTCTTCAGTTGTCTGATACTATTAAACTGTCGTTGCTGTGATATATATTCTGTCTCTTTTGCTGTTATATAAACAGTTTCTTCATTTTATGTAAATACTTCTTGTACCAAATCTAACATGTCAAGAATTTCAATTTAAAAACAACAACAAAACCAAACCAAAACCAAAACCAAAAAAGGTCACTCTTAACAAAAATGAACAGGTTTGTTGGCTAGCATCTACCCAAAAATATTTTCTCTCTCCAAAACTTGTCATCAGCCTTTCCCCTCCATCCACCACTTGGGTTTCTTGTAGTGTTGGGCTTATGGATTTGATCCTGATGGTGAAAGAAGGGATTTCAGGAACATCATTCTTCAGTTCTTGAGATTCTGACTCAGCCTGGTATGAGTTCTCAGTAGATTAAGTGGCTGTTGATTCATGGGACTGTAGTCATAAGAGTGAAATCTTGAGCCATACCCTGTGATTTAGGATAGGAATTATTTTTTAACTATATTTTTTTAAACTTTTAACACAGTAACTGTTTAAGCACAAATAATTAGTATTTTAAGTCCAAAGTGTAAATGGTAATATTTGGCAAAAGTGGAACCAAATAATCTTTTGCAATACAGAAAAATACTGAGAGAGTTGTTTGTGTTAAGTCTGGACAGCATTGTATGACAGTAGTTTTTGGATGCTAGTGGTAGTAGAGAAAATTAAGTATTTTTGACTGGCATGGAATGCAATCCTACAGCTATAGAAAAGTGCAGTACATTAATAGCTGGAGTATGACAGGGAATCCAGAACTACCAGAAAGCCATTGCTTTTGAAATTATTTCTGGGGTTATAGTCAGTAACACTTGTGAAGACACTGACAAGAAGAATACCATTTGGGATAACGAGCAGAGAAGTACAGTGGTTGATGATTTATTGACTGGAAATCAGCTGAGGCTGTTCTGATGGAAGCCACTACTTAAGGCAATAATCTGATGAAATATAAATGAAAATTACTAACTTCTCATTCCTCTTTTTTTTTTAATTGAGCAAACATGCTTATAAATGTCAAAGACAGTTGGCTTGAAATTGTTTGACTAAAGATGATGGTCTCTACAAACAAGGGCAAAAGTGCAGTAACTAAGATTAAATGCTGGTCACTTCTAGATTAAAATTCCACTGTACAGAAGAGATGTTCATGTGTTGTGAGCAATATGAGATGGCTCAATAAAATCACAGCTGTGAAATACTGGATGTGCAGAGATTGTGCTTCAGTTCAAAACATTAAGTATGATCTGCAGAACCTTTTCAGATGCTTGAAAACACAGCAAGAGAATCCAGACTGTCCTAAAGTGTTCTGGTGAAAATACAACTACTAAACAAATACCTAGTGTTTATAACTGACAGCACACTTTGAAGCTTTCTACAACATCAGTCAAGGCAGATGCTACTTGCTCTGTTTCAGTTACAGGTAACCTCTTTGTTAGTATGCTTTGAAGCAAGAGCTGCTGAAGAGTGCGTGGAATAAATGCATAGTAAATTCTAATGTATAAATTCCTGCTTGCTTGCTGTGATGGTGTGGACCAAATGAGATGATAATGCCAAAGTCAAGAATGACCCAGTTCTCCAGCTCCCATTAAGTTCTGTGCAGCCAGTTCACAGCAAGCAGTTGGTGTGCATAGAAACTGCAAAGCTCAACTGAATAGCTAAGAACTGTGTGTTTTGGTTTATTTAAGTTCTGGTAGAGTCAAAAGAGCTATACTTAGAAATATAAGGATATAAAATGTTTGTTTTATTAGAATTGTCAATTGTCAGAAATGACAAAAGCATTGCTGTCAACTTTCAGTAAGCTTTAAACCAAACTTAACTAACCCCGAAATAGTTCTCTGCAGTTTGGCAAATTAACTACAAAAGAACCACAGAAAAGAGTATCATGCTGGCTATACTGGAAGGGAGGTGAATGAGGTACTGGTGCCTTCCCCACAAAACAGCAGCCAGCTGTGTCTGTGGCACTGTGCTCATGCAGCATTCCTTAGTGACCCATGAAGATCCCTCCTCCAGGAAGAACTGAGAGACCCAATAAGAAGATCAAGTTGACTGTTCTCTTCAGAGCCTGGGCATGCCAGTGGTGTTCATGACTTGGGCTGATGGTCACTGCCTCCTTCCTAAATCTTATGTCCCACCCTTTCTGTTCCATCCCTCTAAAAAGTGTGTGAATGCAACAGTCTCATTCAGTATTTCTGTTAGTAAATCACAGAATTGGAATGGTTTGGGTTGGAAGGGACATTTAAAGGTAATCTAGTTCAACCCCCTTGCAATAAGCAGGGTCTTCTCCAGCTAGATTAGATTGCCCAGAGCCCTGTCCCATCTGACTGTGAATGCCTCTGGGGATGGGGCACCTACCAGCCTTTTCCAGTGCTGCACCACCATCATAAAAAAAAAATCTCCTCCTTATATGTACTCTGAATCTACCCTCAATTCAGTTTAAAACCTTTATCCTATTGCAATAGACCCTGATAGAAGGTCTATACCCATCTTTCTTATAAGCCCCCTGTAAGTATCAAAAGGAAGTGAGAGAGGATGATTAAAAATTAATGAAATTCAAAGAGGTTATGCAATAACCCACATAAAAATCAAATAGCTTTGTTTTGGCCAGGAGATGTAGATCTAAATCTCAAATCTGCATCTTAATTTGTTGGATTTACTTACCCTGCTTGCATTTAACTGGTAAGAGAAAGGCATGACAGCTATTTCAGCTGGTGGCATTGGTAACGCATAATCTGTTGCACTGCATTGTGATGGCACTGAGATGAGGAAATGAGGATAAGCCCTGTGGGTGCTCTTATGTGCTACACCTATCAGAGTGGGGGTCTGGGCAGAAAATCCTTCCCTGTTTGAAGGCTGTGCTGCTTCTGGCAGTCAGAAATTTAATCCTGCAGAAAGGCAGCTTTTTGTGCTGAGGAAGGAAGCAAAGAAGGATGCAAAGCTCTTCTACTGCTGCTCATCCAGTGCATGCAGAGATCCAGTCTGGACTTGAGGAAATCTTTCCCCACTTCAGCTATGCATTTTTGAAATATTAAAAAACATGTAATTTTCTGTTTAAGATTTCATCATTGATGCCCTGTTTTAAAAGGAGCACAAGGCCAGTAGGTTGGATATACACTTAACCAGGAAAAACATGCACGTTGACAGTGTGACTGAATTCAATTAACTTTTAAATGTAAATGAGTAAGTTCAGGAGAAAGGACTTCTTTCTACAACCCCTCATGACAAGAAAGACCTTGAAGTGCTGGAGTGTGTCCAAAAAAAGGCAACAAAACTGATGAAGGGTCTGGAGAACAAGTCCTATGAGGAACAGCTGAGGGAGCTGGGGTTGTTTAGCCTGGAGAAGAGGCTGAGAGGAGACCTCATCAGTCTCTACAAGTACCTGAGAGGAGATTGTAGTGAGGTAGGTTTTGTTGTTTTGTTATTTTTTTTTTCTTCTTAAATATGTTATTATAGTGGTGTTACTTCCTTCTCTGATTGGCTCATCCTTGCCTAGCAACAGGTCCATCTTGGAGCTGGTTGGCACTGGCTCTGTTGGTTATGAGGGAGGCAACTTTTGTGGTATAGTGCTCTTGCCACACATGGAATACTATTTTTCTACCTGTGTGCGTTTCAGCTATGATGAAGTCACTTTTGATAGTGTAAAATAGACCCAAATCACTGGTGTTCTATTCCACTCAATTTGCAAGTCCTATGGGGTTTTTTTGAATACTCTCCATATTGACTTTAAAGTAAGGTAAATGGAATAGTATTAAGATTAATGTCCCTACCTCTGCATTTTACATGTTAGTGCATATGGTTTAAAAATTAAAAAAAAGATGAAGATTGTTAGCTTAATCATGACCAGTACTTTCACGTATAATTATAAATTATATTTTATTTACTCCCAGTGTAAGGGGGTTTTTGTTTTGTTTTGTGTGTTGTTTTTTGTTTGTTCATTTGTTTTAGGGCCTTGCCTAAGCCTTTTCTTATTTTTATGATGTTTTTCTTCCTTTATCTATTTATTTTGCAGTTATAGATGATGATAATTCATTTCTGCACAACCTCAAGGTTTTTTCTCTAATATTGTGGAATTCACCATCCCAGAAGTAAGGCAGGTTATTGTTTTTTCCTGAGTCTTGCAAATGCATGTCTGTGTATGGATGTATCCAGGCACTGGAGATGAAAGTCTTCCTTTAACTTACAATACCTATGGGATGCTACTGCCACATACTTAAGTTCCTTGTTTCCCAAAGTGAAAAAATATTTAAACGTCTGTGTGGAACCACAGTTGTTGAATTCTCTCAAACTCAGATTTCTTTTACTTGTTCAGGAAATTTATAGCCAGAAGTAATTTCTGAAAGCAACAGAGAGAGAGAGATAGGGAGATAAAGGGAGGAGGTTGGTCCACGTGCCATGAATTCCTGAATATTGATCATATCTTTTTTCTGACATATGGACTGTTTCCCTTTATATTTCATACTCCAAACAGGGAATCACTGATATGCTTTGGATTATCTGGGTAAAGATTTCAGAAACATAAGAAGAATGTGGTGCCAAGGAGACCACTTCAGCAAGGTTTGTGTCTTCTGCACAGTACCTGATTGTATTGTAGTGTATAGAATTTAGAAGAGCTTTGTGGATAGAGCTCTTATTTAATGGACAAGAACATTTTACTTGGTCCGTAAGGTGGGCCTGAATCATACTAGACAGCTTAATTGTCTTTACGGGCCTCATTTGGCCTGACATGGATGTAGGAAAGTAATGGTAGAGATTGCAGGAAGGTTGGTAAAACTTCAGGTCTTTGTCCCTGCTCTGAGCAGGGCAGAAGGCTAGATGAGGTACAGAGTTCCCTCTAGCCTCAGATCTTGTGTCAGGAGTTCTAGCCCTGGATGACTTTTAAGAATAGTTCAGAAAAGCCCTTAGTTATCCCAGAGTGATGTTATTTTGTCCTTATTTATCTGATCCTAAAGTATCTTCCTGCCATATTGGATGATGGTTAAAAACTGTTTGCACTTGAGATCTAGCTGATTTTTTCTCTCCTCCATCCTTTTCTCATCTGCAAAACTTCAGGTTTTTTGACATCAGTAACTGGAAAAATATTAAATACTATGAAGTCTGCAGGAGTCCACCAGAAAGGTGTTTAAAGTTAATTCCCTCTTCAGTTACATCTTGAGACTAATTTTTTAATCTATTTCATTCTTGCATTGCTCTAGTTATAAATCAAATATTGTGTACTTCTAAATCAGGCATCTTACATAATCTTTTTTTCCTTTGACCCTATTATTCTTATGATCCAGATTTTCAACCTAAATTAGTTTAAGACCTCTATTCAGAACATCCATGATTGATTCTAATTATCTTAATTTTTTTTTGTTTTAATTTTCTCACCAAGTTCTATATTACAGTTATTTGGATTGGCACCTTTTCTTTTTTTTTTCTTTTTTTTGTAACAGTGTTATCTTTCTTTTCATCTTCTAATACTTTCCAGCATTTGAGAATCACCAAAATAAAAATTAATGATCCATAGTATGGCTTATTAAACTTACTAAATTCTTGAATGTTGTTTATCTGATATGCTGATTTAAAAATATTTAGCTTTAGTAGATGATGTGTTATCTCTTTTAGATACAGTTGGACTGCAAACTATTTTCACCATGTGACTACATGATCTAGATATACTTTAAGAAATGTGGCAAAATATTTATCAAATACTTTTCTTGCTCTCTCTCTCGTGTTTTCATTGATTCTGGCATTTTCAGCGAGTATGGATCCCATAGTACAGTGCAAGTTAAACATTTTTGTTGCTGCTTTTTGGAACAGGCTCCTTTTTACCACCCTAAAACGATCACCCTTGAACTATATACACCTCCTTTTGTATCCCCTGTGTTTAATTTGCTTTTCTTATCAATCTCTTATGTTTATAACTTCAGGGTTTATAGCTGCTATTAAGAGAAGTCTTTCATTATGTTATTGGAGCCAGCTGTTTTTAGCTCACCTCTCTGAGTGTGATTTAGTGAACAGGTGGCCTGCGCTAGTGATGTGTTGTTGCCTAAAGAGTGAGATCTCATTCCCTATCCCTTCTCTACCCTTAGTTTGGGAATTCTTGTGCCTGGTGTTTGCTGCAAGCTGGTTCAGTTGGCTTAACTTAGCACAGACATTTTCCTGATTTTTTTCTGAGTTTAAGATATGTCTGTGGGTAAGCTGAATCACAACCAGATACGATGTGCGGCAGAGGTGGTAAAAGGTGTGGTGAGTGAAGATGGAAAGCATGGTCCACGCCTGTCGGAGGATGCAGCAAGGCCGCAGTGCCTGGCAGCGTGGAAAAGAACGTAAATAAGAGGTGAACATCCAATCATGTGTGAAGGCTAGTGGTAAAATATAGATAACAGAGCTAAGAATAGTGTTAGTGTGTAAGATTCTACAGACGGTGTGTGAGTGCAGCGGCGTGAAGAACAAGATGTAATATTCTGGATGGAGCAATAAAGCTGAATTTAGGCCATCATCATAGAATGCCCAGTTTTATTATTTTGGTCGTCTTCACAAACGACGACACACGCCCTCTGATAATACTGAGCTCTTGAGCAAACTGGCTCATCATGAAGGTGTAGCCTAAGCCAGTCTGGTTGCGTTTAATTAGCATAGGCATTATTGCTTATGATTATGAGCATCTCCAAAAATCTAAAACTTGACCTTTTGTAGTACCACCTGGCCATACTATTTGAACCTGATTATTAACAATAAATGAAATCAAGTAATGATGTTAGTTGTCACTGATGTTTGGTTGTGAGTCCATCCAGGCACCTTAAGATGAGGTATAATTTATGATTGTATGGCAACTGCATTAGACAGTGTTTCATTTATGTTTACTTCTTTCTACAATCTCTATTCTCCAACCCCCACTTTTGAGCTCATTTAGCACTACAAATGAATTGCCCATAATCTGCTCCTAGCCAGGATGCATGGGAGCTTCTGGAGAGTCTAAGACCCTTCCTAGAGGAAAGCAGCTGCTGAACAAAAGCACTGAATTTCTCAGTCCAGGAACGTAATAGGCCAGAGGGAATCTCCAAGATTAGGAATGGTTGACAGCACCCAAATACTAACAGTACCTCTTTAAGTATAGGTGTAAGCAGACTGTAAGTAGTTCCAATAGGACCCTTAGCAGCAGGCATGTGTTTTCCTGATTTAAAAGTAAATCTTAACTACAGCAAGGAGTACTTGTAGTCATGTACATGCTGTGTGCTTGCTTTGGTGAGGGAAGTTCAGGACAGTTTATTCACTGTAGAAATACTTCCATGTTATTTTTAACATATTCCGCTCCTTGACCTGATTGCTACAATTACCATAGTTGGGTTATAGACATGACAATGGAGTGTTTACAAGATGCTGATAGTTTTCTCTGTAGAGCCAATAACGTCTAAGGAGAAAGATGTCTCTCATGTGATGTAACATTTATTTGAATCATTACTTGCAAATGTGGTCAGATCTGGTTGTATGTGCATTGAAAATGTACAATTCACGCATGTCTTTAAATACAGATAATAGTAGAAATAACAATTAAAAAAACCTGCCTTGCTGTGAGAAAGCTGAAAAAGGCATTGCTAAACTTTAATGGTAGAGATATAGAGCAAGTACAGAATGCCTTTAAAGGTTAAAGATAATAGAAGATCCTTTAACTACAGGGAAGTGTCCAAAAAAGACTTAACAAGAATTTTAATATATTTGGTAACCAATCCTTGGACTGTTCACTATGAACCCTAACCAAGGTCTTAAAAATATTCTACTATTTTCTTAATTTCAGAAAAAAAAAAGAAAAAAACCCCAACCAAAACAATAGAAAAGATCACAGGCATTTGAGTGCAGCAGTAGCAGATTCCAAAAGTTAGCCCATAACTTTTACAGGGTTGTTGCAGAAATCTGTCTTGTGTTCTGACAGTGTTGTGGCTATTGTGACTGCACAGTAAATACTTCCCAGCTTTTGTGTAGGTTACTGGTGCTGCTTGATGTAAGAGTCTTAAGATTTGCTCCAGGCACTAAAATAATGTCTTGTAGACTTTTGTCAGTAGTTGAAATAGTGAACATGTCTTCTGGATATTACTGCTCCTTTACTGATGACCTAAATAGGAGGTATAGCTGAGTCTGTGTTCCCCTGGGCTGGTAAGGACTCTTTAAGGGTAAAACTCAGCACATTTTTTGCTTATAAACTGATGTTGACGTAACATGCACCACTTAAAGAATGATGTAACATTTTTTAAAAGCTGCTTTTCAACATGTGATTAGAGCTGGCTTTTCCTAACCATCGGTAGCATGAAAAGCAGGAGACTGCACTGTTGCTGCCTACACAGGGTTGAATTCCTTCCTGAAACACAAATTACACTTTTATTCTTTTTGACCAAAACCAGGTTACTGTAGGACTGTTTTAAGCTGGATGATCACTTAGAGTAGACTAGAAAATACTATTTGGCAAAAAGCTCTGAATTCTAATGTGCATTTTTGTGGCATCTCTTGGGATCAGCTGGCAAAAGTGCTGCGACCCTGAGCAATCTGGAAAGGTTGCTCAGGAAAATGGGTGTAGAAGTTCCTCATTCCTCCCTCTGGAAACTTATTGTTGCCTGTAAGCAAAGTAAGATACTTAAATGAACTGTGCTCTCCATGCTCACCCAGCACCGAGTGCAGTAATACCAAGTTCTAGCTCATATCTGGGTGGACAGAGCAGCACTTCTTACAGGGGGAGGCATCCTCCTTGCTCTCCCACAGCATTAAAGATACAACTTCTGTTTTGATAAGGTTTTCTCAAACAGCTTGAGAAACTCCCAGAGAGTAGTGCTAATGGCCCATAATCTGGAATTTTATTTATTTAATTTTTTTTTATTTTAAACTTCTCAGGGGGAAAGTTGTGGCAAATATCTATTCTCTCCATTAATCTGAAGGGAACACTGGAGCCTACGTTTGTTTTTCCCTGTAATTTCCTTCTCTCTCCTATGAGTATAGTGTTTGCTCTATAATACGTAGAGAAATTATGCCAGAGTAACAGCATGTTTGTCTGAGGCTGAGTTTCTTGTCCTAGATGTATAAGATGCAATCTTTAACTGAGAAGTATTTTGCATTTTAGTCCTTAAATAAAATTAAATTTATTCTGTAATCTCACTATAGGTAGACGTCCAACCTACTGTTGTTCCTTATCAAGTGACTCAGAGCACGGAAATATGATTTCAGCAAGGGAAAAGATGCAGCAGCATTTGGCCCACGGGAATAGACTGGTGAGACTGCAGAGGGATGTCAGCTGCAGAGATGGCAGACCACAGACAGTCCTCTGTAGGTATTTAAGTATTTAATATGTGTTGTCAATCTAGGAACTGCTCGGAAGCAAGAAGGGACTCGTGTACATATGACAAGGGATTCTGACCTGTGGAGGAGAAACTTGCACTGAAGAATGAGATCAGGTGCTCAGGGGCTGAAAGTTATGTCTGTTCTCTGTCAAAATCCATCGTCCTGCAAGGTGCCAGAGAAAGAGTTCAATACAGGTGGAAGGTAAATAACAGTTTCTGAGCTTGGGTTTTGGGTTTTATTCCTTCCCGAGCTGCACTGGTGCATCTTGTTTGGATGCAATGTCATCAGTACTAACACTGGGGCAGTATTTCTCTATTAGTGATGACTGTTCATATAACCTACCAATGACAGTAGTGGGAAGCAGAAGAGAAGGCTGTGGTTATTATATAAGTAGCTTATCTAATAGCAAAGCAGGAGGGGACATCTGGAGGGGACAATCAGCAATTGTAAAAATGAACTACTTCCTTTACCAGCATGAAGAAAGAATCGAGTTGTCACTGAACATATTACCACTGCTATCTTCTGGAGCAGAAAACATGACTTCGAAAATGAGAACTCCAAGAAGGCAGACTGGCAGATGCCAAGAAGAAAAGTTGAATCAGAGTGGTGAAATTGGCATGATTTATGGCTTATGATTATTGAATTACTATAAAAAACTGTTGAGTTTTAGTTGTAATAATAATAATAATAATAATAATTGTAACAACTAAGATAATAATCATAACAACTACAGAACAAGATTTCCAAAAATAAATAAAGCTGGGACGATGTCAAACAAAAATACTATTTTAGGTTACAATAATTAAAATAGCCATCCCAGATTTTAAAGCAGAAAGAATGGATTCTGAGGGCAGTGAAAGCAGCTACAAAAAACACAGAATTAAAGTATTAAGTGTTCAATAAGTAATCCAGAAGAGGCCTCTTGTGTTTTAAGATTACTTTATTCTTTTAAGACTGTATGCTTTCTATTGGTTATTGAACAAACTAAGGGAGAACGCAAAAATCAACGTATTAGTAAGCATGGAGGTCAAACTGAGCTGAGGAGGAATACTTGGTGGTGTAATAAATAGTATGTAGAACTGAAGATAAACATTAAATTTTCAGTTGAGAGACCTAGTAATCAGTCCAATCAATGGCACCATACAGTAAATATGTGATCTGCTGCTTTAGTGGCTTGAACTGTTTTTAGCTTATGCTATCCTTGGAGAAATTTCTGACTTTTTTCTTGCATGCTCTAAAGTAAAATTGCCCTTTCATAACAACTGAAATGGAACCATTTATCTAGCAATTCCAACAAAATAAAAGGTACACAGATATTAAGATGCCTATCTTAAGCTTCACAAACATACAAGACTTGAAATGTCACCCTTTTTGGCATGATGCAAGACCTTCCTTTCTAGTTAGATAGCAAAACTCACCACAGTTGTAACTCTCATGCTTTTCCAGTTCTTAATCAAATAGCTTACCTCCTCCAAATACCCTACATAAATGTTACTTGGCAGTGGTAGAGGTAGTCAGGTTTGCCTGAAAAACTACCTGATCATGCACTTAGATAATCAAAAACCTGTTTGAGCAGTGTAGATCCAGTTTGCAGTGGTTAGAGGGAGTACATGGGCACAAAAATGTTAGCAGATATGCCAGAGCAGTCTCTGTCAGATCTGTTGCACTTTAAGTTCAATGAAAACTAAAAGAATTTGGCAGCACCCTTTAATATCCCTAAACAGTAACTCAGAATCCGGGGGGAACAGAAAGCAAATGTCATGTAAGCTCTGTGAGGCTCTGGCCTGTTCTTTGGCCGCTGCTGAAGACAGACTACTGGGTTAGAAGGACCACTCAGCCTGACCACTGAGTACTTGCACTCTTCACTCCTGCCTGCCAGCAGAAGATAAGAATCAAGCCCTTGGACTATTGCTTCCCTGTGTGACAAGACGGTACCTGTATTGCAGTGATGTTCAACCAGCTGAGAAAGTCAATTTAATAAGTCATTATTTATGAAACTTCTATAAGCCTTGGGATTAGTAGGAAACAAACAGATTCAAACACATTTGTTCAGTTTGAACTTTTGCTCCTATGCCCAAAGCTTAGAAGGGCTGCTGAAGCAGTACTTAAATCGCCTACTCTTTTTGACTGGTGGAACATAAAAAATCAGGGGGAATTACTTTAATCTTGTCACTAATTCTTTTCTTGCAGACACAACAAAATATAGGCTTATTAAGAAAGACAGGGAACGTACAGCATTTGATAGCATTATTTACAAAGAGCAGCTCATGTCTACAAAGTTGAGATTTTTCTCATAAAAATATCTGCAGATTTGCCTAATCTAATTTATTCATTAAGCATATTGAGTAAAGGCATGGGCCATTATAGACATCTCAGGCATTCCAGTTTAGTAAGGATGCAACTCACTGCAGAAGTCATCTTTCCACCCACCTTCTCTGTGGTGTTTTTAAATATATAGAAGAGTTCATAATTATCTTTACCCTTTATGACTTAAAAATCAATTAACACTTTTAAAATGTTCAATACAGGCATAGTTTTGTTGTATTACCTTATTGCTTAGAAGATCTGTGGAACTAACTCCAAAAGTACAGGCAATATAAATCAGTCTTTAAATTATATATTACATGTTTATTATGGGTGCAAATTTTTTAAAGTTTACATTTTATGAAAATTCTGAAGTATTTACAATTTTTTTAAGATAAACTTGTATGCTCTAATTTACAGTCTGATGTAGTAACAATTCATAAAAATTCAGATCCTTTAGAGTTGTGTTTACAAATTAATTTTCTTAGGAGGCAGCTACAAGGGATATTGCTGTATACACAGGCAAGAACCAGCTTGCTACATACTTTTTTTTAATATCAGATAGCTACATGTACTTTTTACATTGTTCTTGAGTTTCTTTACAAAAATGCGATATAAACTTGTATGGCTTCAAAATTGTAACCTGCACCCAACACAAATTATGTGAAAACACCTGAATGAAGACTAGTTTAAAAGTGCTGAAACATTAACTACTTCATTTAGCTTAGGAATTAAAGTAATACTTGATTAGAAATAGAAATAACAGTTTGGGTTTTCATTTATAAAATATTGTCACATTAATCAGTTTGATTACAAAGCAGATTACAATTTAAATTCCAGTAAAAAGACTGTACCATTTTAGGAGTTATATATTGACCATCAATAAGATTAGCAAATTAGGAGCCAAATATACTCTTCCAGTCAAATCTACAGCCTGCAAAAATGTGTAGTGTACATTAGAATTTGTGTAGCCTCTACAAAGGCATAATTTCTTGTAAAGCTTCAGCAGTTCATGTCACTACTGGCTTTGGATTAACTCGAGCATGTTTTACTGTTTTAATACAGAATTTGAAATAGACACTAGTACTCTGAATATTCATTTGAATTTCCCATATGAAGGTTATTGAATTATATGGCCCCAATACTTTTGATTTCAGCACTAGAAAAAAACCCTTGATAATATAAATACATAGAAGATTTTCTAAATTACTGACTTGCTTTAAAAAATATTAATGATGTCACTTCCCTCTGCCTAGGCTTGTGGCAAGCAGATTACATGACAATAGAAATATTAACATTGGTAGTTATAGAAAAAATGAATGGACAAGTCAGTATTTGTCATAATGCTGCCATAAAATACTCCTCCCAAAGTACTATGAGTACATTCACATCACAGATCCCCAAAAGCACTCAAAGTCTAAAGACTTACAGTCAAAGTGAAAAGTAATGCTGTTTGCTTTTAGAGTTTGCTTTTACTTTCTTCAGTAATTTTTCAGGATTCTCATCTTTGGTGACAATAAAGTTACTTAATGAAGGTTTCTGAGTCCTGCATGATGCATCTCCCTTTACCACAGCCACATTTTATTGCGATTACTCCATGAGGAAATAATTAAATATTTTAAACATCTTTTAAAGCAAACTCCATTATTTGCAGATCTGCCTTTGAAATAAATCCCAGTGAAAGGAATTTTTATAAAGTTGTGTGTATAATACAAATATCAAGCTTTCTCCATGAAGAGCCAAACTCTGAAAAAGGAAATGAGGCACATGGATATCAAATTAGACAGGCACAGGCTTTTTTTGAAAGGCACAATTGTTATGCAATTCATATAAAAATAAATTAAATCTACAGCATTGCAATCACAACGCCCAAAAAATTTACCAACTGCTGTGTTTTGCAATTTTGTAACACATTGCACTTAGGGAAAAAACAATCCTATATAAAAACAACTTGCATGTTAATAATATATGATACATGGGAATCAACTTACTTTTCTTTTATACATCTCTAAGCTGGTTTTGTGGCATCAGTGGACAGAAGAACTACATGAGACTTAGCCTCTGCTATCTTTAAAAACTGGCAATTAAAAGCTGGCAATTAAAGAATCTGAAAAATTAGTATTACTTATGGAAAGCTCAAATATTTCTTACTTGCTGTCCTACATTTTAGGTTTAATGTTTACAGTACAACATACAATTTCATACTTTCATTACGACTGTGGATTACTATTTTGACTTCATCTATATAAATTTACTAAATTTTAACAAATTTTCCCAAATATTGCAGTTGATCATTTACAGACAGTGTTGAAGTTAACTTCAGTGCTATTGTAAAGTAATAAAAAGTTTTCAAATTGACTTTCAAAAGTGCATTTACTTTCCGTAGTTTAGCCTCAAAGTAGATAACATTTTGGAAAAATTAATGCGTATTAAAATAGTGTTTGAAAAGTATAGAGAGTGGAGTGGGTTTCTTGCACTCCTTTGATCCGATGATTTTCACAAGTACATCAGCAGTCTGCCATATATCGTCCTGAAAAACAAAGGCAGGTTTTTTGCAGTCAGTACTGTCCTTGGAGCAGTTTGAGTAGCTACAGAAAACAAAAAAACCTATGAAACACTTGTCAGAGATGTTTTAATGAAAAGCAACTATTTACACATCATCACTCATTTAATAGTATCATATTTTACAATTTAACACTAGAGAATTTATAATACGAATCAGAATATATAACCATGTAAGTGTCTTACCAGTGGCAAATCTCTTCTTGAGAAGGGAAAGCCGATAGCCAGTGCCTACAAGCTCCACATCTACTCCTGAAAGGGTGCTTCCTTCACTGATGAATTGCACTGCAAGTGTTGCAGGTTTACTGGGTCCTCCTGAAAGTTCAAATTTTGCCCTGAGGGATCCAGAACCTATAAAAACAACAAAACTGAAAAGCTGGTTGTTTTGCATGAACAAAAAGATGTCCCAAAATTCTTATTAGTAAGAAGTGTAACTAACATTGTGACCTTTGAGATCTGTACCTATTGGCAGTCCCACACAAATTTTCAAAAGAGATGAGAGGACAAGTCTGTTTTTTCCAATACTCTGTTTAAGACAATGACCACTGAACGATTTAAAGAGAAACAATACACATTTAAATCATTAGTGAATGAGTTAAAGAGGAACACACAGAATGTGTGCATCAAACAGCCTACTAATCACTTATGACTTAAAATTAAAATACCTGATTGGTCCCTGTAATCATCATTTATATTTGCTGGTCTCTAAGTACTTAATACCACTTATCTCATGGTAGAAACTACCTGATATATAGATAAGTCGATAGTATCTGCTTTTCACAAGCAGATTTAAAAGTACATCAGAATACTTAGAAGTTGTCGTGATCTGTCTGGATGAAAGTACATGAATGAAACCATTGAAAGAAATGCAGCTATACAATAATGTACGCAGAGGAAAGAAATTATTATTTTCTAATAAAGAAAAGGTCTGATTAAACTTTTCCTCACAAATTTCAGTTGATTTTTTCAGAGACACTGATGAAATGTCATCACTTTGATATTATTACAAAGCATTAATAGTTCAAAATTACTTTAAGTACATTTGTGTAGTCAGTGAAAGGCATTTAAAAACCCCCACATTGTTACTAGTTTCTAAACAAATATTTTCTTGCCAAAGTATGCTGGGAAAATGAGATTTAAATAATTAATAATGGAATAACAAGTGTCAAGTATTTTTACTTCTGTAAAACAACTTGCTATTCCTAGTCAATAGAAACTGCTAAAGGATAAAGCAAGTTAGTAACTGAAATATTACTGAGGTAAAAGCCGGAACTAAATTAAACTCTTTTATGCAGTGGCTTGTTCTTGATAAATTTAGCTTAAGACCAATTTTGTTTCTTCAGTAGGTCTGTCAATTTTATGATGCTCTGCAGGTGTAAAGTTGCTGCATTTTGTTTCAGTATGATTTTTTTCTTCTAAAAGAAGCTGCACAGTTAGGAAAAGGAAAAGGAAGAGGGGAAAGAGGGCTATTTCTATGTAAATGTAATAGAAGACAAAGAGCTGTGAGTTTTTTGTCCACCAGTCCACCAGACTACAGCAACCACCCCTGTCCAATAAAATTCTCTCTGATTTTGTTTGAATGATAATCACAACCTTTTAGCCTTTGCAGGAATAGAGCTCATCTTCCCTTTTCAGGATTTTTATATGAAACCAGTCACATTTACAAGCAAACCTGTGCTTTTACAGTGCTCTTCTTTAAATTCTTAATAGGATAAAGGCCTTTCCTTTACACTGGAGTTCATTTCTCCACAGAGGCTTTGATGATAAGGTGCTTGCCTTTGGTTCCTGTACTACTTTAGAAAAATATTGCACCTGCAGAGACTGTAAGGGCTGTAACATCAACTGGAGCTCAGAGAAAAGCAGCTGGGCAGAGGACAACTATTGGTACCTTACACAATACTGTATAAATTACTACTCTCAGCAGATGTGCATGGATTCATTTTTTTGCTAGAGTCACTATGGTCAAAACCAAGACTCAAAATGTTGGTCAAGAATCATCTATCTCAGCACACAATTTCTGGATTTTTTTTTCTTGCCTCCAGTTCTTCCACTTACCTTCTTCTAATTTATTTAAATTATCCATGTGTGGATATTAAACCTATTTTCATTTGAATAACTCCTCAGTTCCAAATAACACGAGTGCAGTAATTTCCTACCTGATCTGAGCTTCATTTTAGAGCTAACTGCTTTCAGGGGACTTCATTATTTTCCATTGTGTAGCTCATTAATAAATTTATATTTTGACATCTCACTGTTAATGAAATCTCTCAGGAGGCAATTAACTGAGAAGGCGGCAAACTGCTAAACAGGATACAGCATGAGAAAATTTGTAAAGAGGCATGAGGGTGTAGAAGCTATGATGATTACCTTTTTACTATTAAATTTTTTCTGTACAAGAAAACAAAAGTTTAACTTGCCTCCATTCTCAGACTTCTCTGAAATGCTAGATATTTTCCAATATGCTTTCATCTGGTCTGCATTCCTGTAAGAGAATGGTAAATTAGTTGTAAGCACCAGTTTTAGCCCATTATTTCCCTTGATTGAACTGGTATGTTACAGACATTTCTAAATGGAAGTCTATAAGAAACATTTGCTCATTTTAAGGTAAGTCTGTGGAAAACTACAGGAGGAAAAGAGGAATAGAGAAGGGTGCGTCTCCATTGTTCCAGAACAGCAAGCTCAGAAGTATACACTTCTTTATACATCTTATATAACACTTTTTTACACATTTAACACTGTTCTATGTCCCCACCTATGGCTTCAAAATTCAAAATCCTCTGCAGTCCAGTCTCAAAGGGTAAGTTACCCTGGAAGTAGTTTGGAAGCTATGTGTTACGCTTCATGACAGTGTAGGAGGGGGGCAGTGTTGATTGCTCTGCCCTATGTAAGAGTCTTGGAACCATGAAATTTATTCTGTTTCCATTCTAGTAAAACTAATTGGTGTGACAGACTGCTTAAGCTAACTTCAGACACTGAAAGGGGCAGAAAAGGGCACCAAGCCAAGAGTCTCTAAGCGGACAGGGCATTTTAACTCCTGGAGCACTTTCGAGCACTTCCATCAAGTCAACAACTTGTAGCTGTGAGCAGCATGAAGTGCTGATAGGATTGAAATTGCTCTTGGCATTGATGCAGCAGGACTGAAATGCTCACATTTAGCCAATGTGAATTAGCTGTACATGATCTGTTTCAGACCAGAAGATGTCTAGACACCTGATACTACAAATATTGCTGTTTTTTCCTATGAAATTTTTTGGGCTATGACACCAATGAATGCACTGAAATGAATCTGAAAAGAATACTGAAAAGTATTAAAATTACCATTTTGCAGGTGGAAGTGACTGCATGTTTATTACTCCTCCATCTACTGGTACCACAACCTGGACATTAGACAGCATACCAGGCACATTCATAGACTCTGGATTGTATTTATAATCCACTCTCACATCAGTAGTGCTAGCATCACATTTCCAGTAAGTTGCAAGATTCAATGGAGTAGACTGTATGCCATTTGAAGATACCTGTAAAAGAACAAACCATTGAAACCAGCTGAATTAAAATATTCCCCTTTTAGGCAGAATTAAGGGATGATTGTAACAAACACAACTCTAAATGCTGACAAAATATCAAGAGAACAATAGATCCTTAGAGTCCTTAATCACAGAATTCTGAAGAATGTTGCAGCCAAAAGGCATTTTTGTTATTTTAATTTTAAATCAAATAGTTAAAAGGTTTAAACTCCCTCTGGCCTATGAGGTTCCTTCCTTTCTTACTTTTATAATCTTTTATAATCTTTGTTTTTGTCTTGTGTTCTGCCTTACACAAGCATGCTTGCAGCAAAATGACTTCACCCTTAGCAGTTGTGTGCCATGCCAATTTAGCTGCCCAAGCAGCCAGCAGCAGAAGACAACACCTGTCATTATGGGACAGGCAGCCAGCAAAATAGTTCTTACCTATTCAAAGCATTATTTTCCTGCTGCAGAAGGTTGAATGCCGCTTCTGTGGCTAAGCTTGTACTACTGCCCTGATGTACCTCAACCACATTCTCAGCCTACTTGAGGAAGCTTTTATGTCGTGGTGCACACTCACCTTTCCTTGGCAGCCTTTTCTATCTGCTCGGGCTTCTTTGTGCCAATGCCTCATTTTTCCAAGAAGAATCCACTGTATTTATTTCAGCAAACCAAAGAAGTGTTTGGTTCCTTCCATCTTTCTCAGGAATTCTATGTGTCTAACATGCTTTTTGTAGATTCAGTATGCCAAGATTTTAAACCATATTGGGAGGATGTGGAAATTACAGTGGTATGAATAGGTAGACCGACAGCTTATTTTCAGGGTGTTTTTGTGGGTACAGTTGTCTCAGATATCCAGACATTTCAGTGTAGGCAAACTCCCTGTTCTCCATTGAGGTGAGTCTGTCTAGAATATTCACAAAGGCTTTTTATTAACAGCCAGAAGAACATCCTCTCACTGATTCACACAATGGCCAGAGGTTGTCTGGTCCAACTCTCCTGCTCAAGCAAGGCCATCTTGAACCAGCTGCCCAGGACCACGCGCAGAAAACTTCTGAACATTTCCAAGGATAGAGACTCCACCATCCCCTTAGGCAACCAGCCAGTGCTCAGTCAACGTCACAGGAGAAAGATGTTTCTGGCCGTTCAAAGGAAATTTCCTGTGCTTCAGCATGCCTCTGGTTCTGTCACTGGGCACCAATGGAAACAGCCCAGCTCTGTTCTCTGTGCGTTCTCCCTCAGGTATTTATACATATTGATGAGATTTCCCTGAACTTTCCCTTCTCCAGGCTGAAGAGTCCCTGCTCTCTGAGCAGGGAGAGAGATACTCTCCTCATGGGAGAGATACTCCAGTCCCATCACCATCTCTGTGGCTCTTCACTGAGCTCTCTCCAGTCTCACTTGCAATGGGCAACCCAGAACTGGACACAGCACTCCAAGGGTGGCCTCACCAGTGCTGAGTGGAGGGGAAAAATCCCCTCCCTTGACCTACTAGCAATACTTTGCTTAGTGCAGCCCAGGAGACCATCTGCTGCCTTTGCAGCAAGGACAGGTTGTTTGGCTCATGTTCAACAGTGTCTCCCAGGTTCTTTTCTGCCAAGCTGATTTTCAGCTGGCTGGATGGAGTTGTTCCACCCCAGGTGCACTTGTTGAACTTCATGAGATTGCTTTCAGCCCATTTCTGCAGCCTGCTGAGGTCCCTCTGGAGGGCAAAATGACTCTCTGGTATATCCAGAGGGTCATTCCTGTTCACTGTTGTCAGCAAACTTGCCAGGGGTACACTGCCCCATCATCCAGATCATTAATGAAGCTATTAAACGGTAAAATCAGTATTGACCCCTGGCGTTTACTGTTGGTTAACAGCCTCCAGCTAGACTTCATGCCACTGATCACCACCTGCCAGGCCCAGCTGTTCAGCCAGTTTTCACTTCACTTCATTGTCTGCTCATCCAGCCTGTACTTCACCAACTTCTCTATAAGGATTTAGTGGGAGACAGTGTTGAAAGCCCTCTTGAAGTCTAAGTAGACAATATCTACTGTATACCCTCATCCATTGGGGCAGTTATGTCATCACATAAGTTTGTCAGCTTGGTCAAGCATGACTTTCCCTTAGTAAATCCATTCTGACTACTCCTGTTTTATTATACTGTGAGAAGTCAGAATGTCATATGTTCTCAGATAGAATCACAGAATGGTTTGGGTTGGGAGGGACCTTAAAGAACAAATAGTACCAACCCTCCCTCACCAAAGGCACAGGTAACTTTCAGTAGACCAGGTTGCTCAAAGGCCCATACAGCCCTTGAACACTTCCAGGGATGAGGCATCTATAACTTCTCTAGGCAACCTGTACCAGTAACTCACCACCGTCTGAGCAAAGAATTTTTTCCCAATACCTAATCTAAACCTCCTCTCTTTCAGTAGGAATCCATTACCATATATTAAAATTCATCAGCTACAGCATCCAAAACTTAGGCAATTGCAAAATCAAAGACAGTACAAGTACAAACTAAAACAAGCCCCCATCAAATCTTAAAGGAAAATTTCATTATGCTAATACATTAAAAAAAGCAGTGTTTGAAGCTTGCATGCATGAATTGGACTGATGCATAACCAAGCTGAAACAGGTCCTGAATCCAAATAAATGACATGAAGCATAGCAGGAATGTGCTAAGCCTGGACAGAGTGTAGGCATTGTAAGCAGTGACATACCCAGAATTAGTCTAGATGTGGGATGACAGTTCATCTGCACTCTGGCAGACAAAGAATGATTCTTTTAATTTTGGGGTAGATATCAGATCTGGAATGTCTTAAAAATTTCCAAAGGAAAAAAGTGTTTACCTGATACTTTAAAACATCCACATTGTAATAGGATGCAGATGGATTCTGCTCTGATAATTTCTTGAGGTAGACAGTTATAGCTTGCATGTTCATCCAAAAATCCTTAGTACTGGAGTCACTTTGTGACTGATCACTACAAAGAAAGATCATCAATTAGGAGTGAAGTATTACACCACTCAAACAAGAATACTAGACATTTTAACTTCTGTTGCAAAAAGTGCTTTTTCAGTATAATTCACTATCAAATACAGTTCTGCTAACATTTCAGTTTTAAATTGTCAAACAGCAAGTAAATTTAATGTATGAATCATTCATTAAGTATGAATGATCAACATGAAACTAAATACAAAAGAACAGGTGCATATGGTTTGATTCATTATTTCAGTAACTTAAAAAATTCTGCATTTAAAAGCATTTAACTATTTTTCAAAAAATCTCTCAAATAATTGAAATAGAAACTGCTCATCTGGAACGTATCTCTGCTAAAAAATTCCAGCTTTTCCTAATTTTTTAAAAGCAGTATCTCCAAGTGTGATTTCAACAATTACCCTACTCAATTGGCAAACTTTTTTATTACTAATTCTCCCAAGCACGCTGCTACACGTCTGAGAGATAGTTATGTAATGAATTTGATTAGTGCAGAAATGATCTGGCTTAAAAATACACTCGTAGGTGACAAATAAGAGTAGGTGTAGCTCCTACTACTTGTTTTCCATTTAAGGCTCCTACTATTTGTTTTCCATTTAAGGCTCCTACTATTTGTTTTCCATTTAAGGCTACTGTTTCATCATTTAGTTTTACCATAGTTACTACTGTATATAGAAATAATTTATAAAATGAGTGTAAGAACACAGCTACATTTACAAAATATTTTTATGGCTCCTGTTATATCAGCACAAGTCTCAAGGCCAGTAATCACTGAGATTCTTAATGGTGACAGTGGAGAGAACTAAGCTGAAAAAGCTTAATTCAATAAAATAATTATATGTAAGTAAATGAACCAGACTGTAAAGAATTCTGATTTACACATACAACTCATTTTTTACAAATCATGTGGCTTAAAATTATGTAAAAAAAAAAAAAAATACAAAACCTGTATACAAGTTGTGCATTTGGAAGAATCTGTTCTAGTTTGCTTGTGTTTTTTACCCTGAAGCAAAGCACAGCAGGAGATGGGTTGCTGGTGAAGACTTTAATAATCCCACTTGGGAATGAAATTGTCATATCACCAGTAATCTTCACAATACATCTAGAAGAAAATGAAAACATCAGTTTCACTGCAGCTCATTAACGGCCTAGTTTTAATACTAATTTTAAAGCAACCATTGTATTTTCACTATCTGATGAACTGAATTAAAACCAGAAAATCAATCTCAAATGAGAGTAATGTGACAATGTACTGTCACTTTCAACTTGGAAATAAGATGAAATAATGAAAGAAAAAAAAGTTTTAACTGCTTAAGCATACAGTAGTCTTGGTGAATATTTTTTGGGCTTTGAAAACATGGTACAGCTATGCTTAGGCAAGCCTAAGTAGCATAGCAAGAGATGTGACAAACGGAATGAGGTGCTTATATCTGCCCAAATTTACATGTAGCACCTACCTGACTGTGATAAAAATCCTTGTCATTCTCAGTGTGAACACATTTCTATAAAGCAGGTATATATGAACTCCTAGCAGGATGCAGGCCAGCACAGAGCAATTAGCCACTCTTGTCATTCATACCAGGGGGATAAAACCCCACTTTGAATCCCCTGCCTAATGTATTCCCCCCCAAATATAACAAGTAGACTCAGTGTCTTTTCTTATTTTAACTTATTACATTCAAAACAATTCACTATTTAACTAACTTTGTGGGATCTGCTCCTTTAAAGTAGGCGTTAACAGATTCAGTAAGGGCTACTGCAACAGGTAAGATGTCCTGGTTTCCAAGGCTGACAGGGCTGGGACCACGTGAAACACCTAGAATACATACAGTGTATAGATTTAATTTCCAAAAAGCTTAGCAATAGATTTCAGAATGGTTGAGTACATCTGTAATTTTCACAAGAGGTTACTGCCATCAAGGTCACAGTAGCATCTGAAGTATTACTTGAAAAGTGTGTAGACATACATAAAAATAGTACAGTACAATTGCACAATCAGGAACACAGGACTATCAGTAAATTTAGTAGACAGACACAAGGAAATACATAGGAGACAGAGGAAGACTGCATTAAAATGGCCACTGGTGAAAGTGACGTCAACAGACCTAAAGGAAATAAGACATTGACTAGAATGATTTAAAAAAAAAAACCTACTGTATGCTTTTTGTATGGAAAAATATATGATAAAATGGTCATATAAATGCAAAGAATTTACTTATAGTAAGAATGAACTTGAATGCAAATACATCAATATTACCCCACATAAATGAACCATTGAACATTCTTTTAACCATTTCAGCCAATTAACATTACAATTCCCAAGCAGAAATTGTTGGAGAAGTCTTCATTTTTTTATTGTGCCAACACAACACAATTCCAATACAGAAATATAAAAATCAACTCAGATCTCATGTTGAGGCATTTTGAAATGTGCATATACAACTGACGAAATAGGTTGTCACTGGATTTTATTTTTCACAAATTTTCTACATGTGTACTGAATATAAAAGAGTATTGGAAGTTTTGTCTTTTTTATTAGTGAAGCAGTGTAGTAGAGAGCATCTTATTAATTTTTTTTGTCCCACTGCTGAAGTGGCCTGTACCACATAATATTATCTATCACAAAGAAGGCACAATCTCCATCTTTTCATAAGCAAATTGAGAAATTTCTCTTTCATACCATAAAGCAGAAACAAAATGCTTCTGTATAATACTGCTCATGGCGAATTAAACCTATTTACTTTAAAACAGTGGCTGTCCTTTCTGAGCTCTTTCAGAAGCAAAAAGGAAGTTGTGACCTTGTTCTTCACAGAGGAACTACTACCTCACATTAAACCTTAAATTCAGAGATAAGTAAACGAAGTAGTAACAAAAAAAGAGCAAAAGACAGACGTTGGTTCAATTCTACCTCATACCTCACTCTCATACATTACAATTTCTTGCCTAAGGTAGTAAAATGTTAAGAATACTTCTCAGCACCAGGAAAACATTTGTGCAACATTTAGGCCCCCTTAGATCAAAAAGATCTAGTCACAAGTGTCGAAAACCAAAAATTCTTAGAAGAACGAACTATTATGATGCTGGCTACAAAACACTGATTTATTAATTTTTTCTCAATGTGAACAGTAGTTAGACAATATATGGATCATGTTTCCAAAGTTTTTTCTCTCCCTGAAAGTGACCAATAAAAGCTGTGATTGCAGAAACCATTATTTCAAGAAGCAGACGTGCAATAAAATAAAGAGTTATCCATCACTAGGAATTCTGTTCGATGAAATACTGAACTCCAGGATTATTCTTCACTAAAGCCAAAATATGCACTCAATGAAGGCGGCACTACAGTTGCTGAGCTGTTCTACTGTCTTTTTCCTCCAATTTACTAAGGAACAACTAATAATTGCAGAGCAGATAGGATTACCTTATATACAAGTGTCTAAATTATTTTAAGATCTTTTACTTAATGGCATTGTGTACATTTTTATATTGACATTTGAATATCATGCGAGTAATGCAGATATACTGATTATATTCCTATTGGTAAAAAACAAATACTGTTTTCTTGACTGAAGAGTGAAATTCATTAGAAATACTAACATTGCTTTTACTTTTTTTTAGGGAACACCACAGCAAATATTTATTTCTCTGAGTTCTATTTGGAGGATTACAAATGAGATATCTTCTTTTATTTGCTCTGTTCCCACTGTTGGTCACCCTTTGATTCATAAAAATCTATGCATTCTCCTAAAAACCAATAATTTTAATGAGACCAACTGCCAGCTCTTGCCTTTGGGTCACAACAAACCCAGGCAGTGCTACAGGCTGGGTGAAGAATGGCTGGAAAGCTGCCTGGCAGAAAAGGACCTGGGGATGCTGGTCCACAGTGGCTGGCAATGAGACAGCAGTGTGCCCAGGTACCTGAGAAGGCCAATGCCATCCTGGCCTGTATCAGGAATAGTGTGGCCAGCAGGACCAGGGAAGTGACTGTGCCCCTGTACTCAACACTGGTGAGGCCCCACCTTGAACACAGTGTCCAGTTCTGGGCCCCTGACTCCCAGAAGGACATTGAGGTACGGGACTGTGTCCAGAGACAGGCAACAGAGCTGATGAAGGGTCTAGGGAGTAAGTCCTATGGGGAGCAGCTGAAGGAGCTGGGATTGTTCAGCCTGGCTCAGAGGAGACCTTATTACTGTCTACAGCGACCTGAAAGGAGCAAGGGTGTGCGTCAGCCTCATCTCCCAGGAAACTAGTGACAGAACAAGAGGATATGGCCTCAAGCTGTGCCAGGGGAGATTCAGGTTGGACATCAGGAAGAATTTCTCCACTTAGAATGGGCTGCCCATGGAGGCGGTAGAGTCACCATCCCTGGAGGTGTTCAAGAAACAACTGGAGCACTTAGTGCTATGGTTTAATTAGCATGGTAGTGATTGGTCAATGGTTGATGATCTTGGAGATCTTTTCCAACCTTCATGATTCTATCATTCCATTCTATAAAACAAACATAACTGCTTAATCTACCTCTGGAAGTCATCCTTGTGTTGCCATGCTGCTGAAAATACAGTTCAGTGCAGCAACATCCAGCTTCAGGGTCTTCCATATCTGCTGTGAGGTCTCAGAGGAACAGGATATCACAGAGCTACACCAAGGTGTCCTGACTCCACCTCAGGCTGAAGCCCAGCTCAAAGTTCCAGTTCTACTACCTTTGGCAGTGACAGAAAAGCTGGCTTAAATGCCCTGCCACCTACCTCAGTCTGACCACCATTACCAGCCCCTGAGCTGTGCTGACACAAGAGCTAGTGACACAACCATGCACATGGTTGCATTGACACGCTCAAGGTGCAGACCAAAACTAAAGAGCAAAAGACTACATCATTGGTCATGAAAAGGGCAAATGAATAAACCTGATCAAATGGTTTTAGTTCAGTTTAGGAAAAAAGATTCAGACAATTTTAATATTGGCTAAACAGCTGTCATGAAAATAAAATTTATTTTAAGAAAGTGTTACCTTTATTATGTCTATATTCAAAGATTTGTATTATATGTAAATATACAAATGTTTTTACATACTTGTATTATGAGAATAAGGATTGTAAAATTAAAAATATATTCACTTGAAAGAAAGTAGTAATGACACACTGAAGAAGCAAGGCCAAGTTTCAGCTTGTTTGCAGAGCAGGGAAGGGGACAGGCAGAAGATTACATTATATAAAAGTGGTTATATCAAGTTTTGGTGATCTAAGCAACATATAACTTGTTAAGTAGTTGAGATTTCAAGCTATTTGTATCTGCCAGATACCATCTAGAGAAACTTGTTTCAAAAGAAATATCATTTTATTAGAGGTAGTGAATTAGGATGATTAGTTGAGACATATATCTGCTTTGAGTACAATACCTGGTGGTGTCCCACAAAGCTTTTCAATTGTAGGAAGATTTGGAATCAAAAGATCATCCTCTATTACATTTAAATGAAACAAAACATTGCAAGAAAACAAAATATTTCAAGCAAAAATAGATGTTAAAAATTAATGTATTAAAAAAATACTTCACAAATTAAATTAAGGCTAAAGCATAAAAGAAACACTCAATTATGCATGCCTTAAAGTTCTCTCGGAAAAAGATAATTAGAGTCAACTCTCCATTATTCAGGACAAATGGGATACAGGAAACACTGGACTGTGCAAAAGTCAAAAGAATTCATACAGTATTGCAGAGTATATTCTCATGCCCCAAAGTCTTTCAGCTCTCTGCACTGACCTTCCCCTTTTTCCAGGACTATTTCATACAGTCAGTGCAGATGGAACTGGCCTTATTTATTTTTCCTAGTCCAGACTAGTAACCATGTCAAACATCGGTGTCAGCACACACCTCCTTACCTCCTCCCTCACCTCACGATTTCACTCTGTCACTGTCTCCAACAACATGCACACACTGAGAGCTGGGGATATTGATGCTCCTGCCTCAAATTTTTGGTTCCTTGGCACCAGAGCTGAGGCCTGAGGATGTGAGCCTGGATGGACTTGGCAACCAAAATATCAGTTGTCTTTCTGTGATGCTTCTCAGCGTTTGTGAAACTGGTGTACACTAAACTGTAGGAGCTAAGGTTGGGCAGAACTTAGTAGAACAAGGTGGAAACAGCTGCATTGCTTTCAGTGCAGAACTCCCACTGGAAGCTGCAGAAATTCTCTCCTGAGCTGCTAAGCCTGAGTGAGGAATGCTTGGCATCAGTAACATTCACAGATAACTGAACAATACCTTGAGAATCTGATTTAACTTGGGACTAGAGAAGTAATAGTGTTCATGAATGAAACAATTCAAGTCTACTACATAAACATGTTAAAATGTTTTAAACCCCACTGCCCCCCAACCTAACAAAACCCCCATTAACTAAAAAGACCTCTGTATGTCTCCTTTTCATTTGTTGTAACCAAATATCAAAACTGAAGCACTATCCTTTAGAAACAAGAGAACGCCTTCTGAAATTACTGTCAACACATGAAGTCTAATTAGCTCCTCATCTTAATCTTTTTTGCTTAGTTGTTTGTTTTGCTTTTACTAAGATCTCTGTTTAGCTAATAACTAACTTGAAGAAAAAGATGCATTAGATTAATTTTTTGGAAACTGGAATTAAAGGACAACAAATTAAATTAAAAGAGCATAAAAGAACTCACTTTTATGAACCTTTATATTCATTCAAATTTTTCTGCATCCCAAAATATTTCTGCACCTATATAATAACATCTTCTGAAAAAATACATGATAACATATTGTACTTGATGGATATACAAGCATACCAAATAAGAATTAATGGAATATTAATTTTGAATAATATTTTCCTAAAGAGCATGCTATAATTGGATTCTGCGGTCTAATCTAATTGAATTCACTTTCATGTCTCTCAGTGTCATTTACAAGCAGGTGTGGCAAATTATGCTTGAAGTATACCTAGACTTGCATATGAAGAAACTAACTCCAACAAATGGCTTTCCCAACAGGTGCAACCTAGTAGTAGAGTTATCCTATTTCTAAAATAAGATAAAATGGTTAATTAAACTTACCAACGGTAGGTGTGTTTGCTGCACTGAGAGAAGCAGAAGAGGATATAGAAGAAATGCTCTCTGCACGTGCCAAAGGAGCTGCTGGAGGTGGACTTGAATTAGAGGTCAATGGAGGGCTGAATGGCCTAGGCTGAACAAAAGAGATTACAAGAATATGACACAAAGTGGTTTTTTTAAAGAGACAAAAAAAGGACTGTAAATAGAAAACTTTCACTCCCCAATCATTTCATAATGTTTCTCAACATAGTTCCTTTAATGTTTTGTCTACCTTAGTTTCAAGTGTAAAACAAAGAACTCACATTTTTCATTGGAATGAATTCCGTTATTTCATAGATTATAATTTTTTTGGATGGAGTAGTCAAGTCTAATATATTTGATTGTGTAGCCCCCTGTCAATAATAATGATATAACACAGTATTGGAACCTAAGACTACAGACTACTGTGCATGTGTGCAATGAACATGGATTTAGAAAGCAAAAGCAAAGCTACGAATGAATTGGAAGTAAGACCAGCAGAAGGCTACTAAATAGTTGGGACTGGAGTGCAGGAGAGAGAGGAACAGGCTGGAGGACCAGGGTTTGTTCAGCCTGGAGAACAGAAACCTAAGGAGGGATCTATGAGCAGTCTCTCATTAGGCAAAAGGAGGTACACAAAGAAATCAGAGTCAGGCTCTTCTACTAACAGATGTAAGAGCTATAGCAAAGGAAATTTCAGCTGGACTTTGGGAAAAATTCTTTCTTCCAACCTTTTAGTTAAATCCTAGGACAAGTTGCCGTATTGTAAAATCTCCCACTTAAGATTTTTAGAACTCAGCATGTGCCTAAGCAATCTGATGTAATTTTGAAGTCAGTCCTTCTTTAAGCAAGTTGGCCTAGGAAACTTAAAGTCTCTTCCATTCTAGACCTTTGGATGGTTTCATGATTCACTGAACTGTTAAAGTATTTAACTAATGATGAAATTGGGATTAACCTATCTGAAATGTACTGGAAAGCCTGAAGCATCATTTGGGCGGAGTAACTGTAGAATCCCAGAAGATAAGGGACTAATGTCTAAAACACAGATAGCTGGGTGGCTGTGCAGCCAACCAAGGAGTGTTGGTAATAACTGACAAGGACTGTCAGTAACAATCAAGGATTATAAGTAATAACAAGCCATGAGAAACAACAAGATGTGGCTGGAGAAGGGGCCATGTGGAGGTAGGAAAGCACTCTTCTAGGACAAACATCTTTATTTCCTGGAGATAAGCACAAGGGCAGGAATGAGGCTGAGAAGTGGGGATGGACTGCAGGGGGGATCAAGACCACCCAAGACTTACAAAGACCTCTGACCCATTTCCAGAGAGGTCTGAAAGAACAGACTGCCTATGATAACTAATTTGCACAGAAAGTGAGAAACCTGTGGGGAAACATCTATAAAAAAGGTACCCCCCACCAAGCCCAGGTGGTATCCCCATGAACCTGGACTGACACTGGAACCAGGACTGATGATCTCTTTTTCTCTCTTTGTTTCTCTCTATTCCTCCTTACTTAATGTCTTCCTTTCTCTCTTCCTTTTTATCCTATTCCTTTATCCAAAGCCCATTGCCAGATGCTTGTATAAGTCAGGGACTAGCATACCAATCTCCATGCCAAATGTATAATTCAATAATAAAACTTTGTGACGTTTTTGTGGACCCTCAGACTTTTTTTATTTCTTGCAACCACAAGCATTTATGAATCTTGGGTGCTTCCCTCCCCTTATGGGTCGGATGTCACAGTAACTCTTCACACCCCCACTCCTCCCACTCCGGTTCTACTACACTTATTGCTGGGTATATGGCTGTGATGGACTATTGGAATTGTAAAAGGAGTTGACACATACTAAAGACAACTGACAATCTCCCACTTGTATCCGAATAATAGTCTATTTCTAAAAAAACAATATAAAATGAATGTAGCTTTGTGCAGAATCATACTTTATAGCAGAACACTACCAGATAAATTCTTTCATTTGATTATGATGACATGAAAAACAGATTCCTTGGACTGAGAGCAATTACTCCCATTTCATATTGGAACAAGAAAAGAATCTCAAAATGAATTCTATTCTGACTGTACAGAAAAGCAAAACAGTTTGAAAATGTTTTAGTTTTGTCAAAGCATGAGATCAGAGAATGTTATTTGTAACAAGAATTAGGTGACAGTACCTTGTGTAAAGTAAGATATGCAGGTATCCCTGCATATATCCCTGCCAAGGCAGTGGAAAGAATTCAAAAAGTTTATTTAGAAGGCCAGAACATGAAAAACTTACAAAAACCTCACAGTACTGTAAAAGCACTGGGCCTCAAGGAGAAAAGGCAAGGCCCCACCCTCTCCAGGGCTTTTTGCCTTCTCCTCCCTGTCTTTGCTGCCTTCTCCGGGCTGCTGGGACCCTGCACATGTTTGTGAGGGTTAACTCTCTCCAGCACAACAGAAGGAGATAACACAGCTCTCCCTCTGCAACTTCCTCTGACTGCAGAAGGGAAAAAAAAAAATTAAGCCTTTGGAGAAGGCATTTTGCAGTCTTCATAAGTGAAACAAGTCCTAGCTTGCCCTTACAAATTCTTCTGAAATTGTACCTATCCTTAGACCTTGCTACTTCGAAATAAAATAAGAGGATCCAACCACAGGAAAATTTTTCCAAGTCAGTAAGTCAAGTGGAACACACAGAATACTAATAATTACAAAGGAAATTAAGTATGGCCTGGTCTGACAAGCTGTTTGGGTATTTGCATTTTACCATATTCCTTACTGGCAGGTGAACCTGCACTGCAGCAGCAATGAGCAGATGCAGGCAGCGTGCAACCTCTCACTGTCCTGATGGGCAACTGCTGTGATCTACCACCTCCCCTCTCCATCAGCCAGCAACAAGGGCAGGAAGAAGTCACAGCAGTGATACTTTTGTCAACACATGACTGATAAAGATCTACTAAATACCACTTATTCCCCAAAGCATTGATGGTATCCCTAAATCAGTGGAGCTTTGTAAATAACTTTGCTAGTATTTCACATTTTGAAAACTTCAATCTTATACATTGTGCCATCCTTTTTGGATGAGCACATTATTGAGAAAAGTATTGATTTACTCAATTAAGAACATTCAGCTGATGCAAAAATTATGTTCTGGACCCTTGTATTTCTGTTAAGAATTACCTGTTCTAATAACAATTGTCATAAACAATTTCCATGCCTATCTGTCAATGTGGAAAATCTGCTTATGTAATTCTTTGAACATTGGTTGGAAAGTAAATCCACTTACAGAGTAACAGTGTAAATGAATGGTGTATTGGAAATCAAGTCACAATGGAGAACAAAAAAACCCCCAAAACAACAATCAATCAATACATACAATTTCATTAATCCCACTAAGTTTCCCGGTAGTCAGCTTTGGTCTTGAAGCAGGCCTTGGAGGGGGTACTATGGTGCCTGCAGAAAGAGGAGTGGTGGGTCTTGCTGGAAGAAAGCAAATTCAAGAAAATAAGTATTAAAAGATCACACTGAACATAAATTCTTACTTGAATAGAAAAACTGGAAATGATGCTTCAACTAGAATTTCCTATTTTACAAGTGTGATGGTCTAAGATTTAACACTAATCATAAGTGCTTTTAAAATAGTGCCAGGTGATACCCTGAAGTTACTTGAAAATAGCATCATGGGCTTTCCCATTGCTCTCAAATGATTTTATACCAAGCAGTCATGGGGGTTTGTATGTAGAAGTAATTAATTTTGCAAATTCAATCAGTTAATCTTTGAGATCTCACTGCTGTCTAACATCCCACAAAAATACAATCCCATTTCTAGAAAAGCAACACTGCATAGTTAAGAGAAAGCAATGCCTTTAAATGAATAATTTGGATTTTCTTCTTGCTTGAAGCTGAATATTTATTGTCCAAACTTTCAAGGAAATGTTGCTAGCAAGCAGTTTAGTACATTCTATTTAAGAAGACGTGTTAATTTTAACATCTGGGTGAGCATTAATAACAAAAAGAAAAATGAGTCCAAAGCTCACTTTTTGTAGTCAGTTATTAGCGAAGAGCAGTACAGAATGCATGCTTGCCATACCCTTATTTGTATGAGCACAAGAAGACACTAAACTATAGTCCAGTAGTGTTGAAGATGATGCGGAAGATATTTCAGCAGCAGTGCCAGTTTCTTCAATGAATAATTGTTCATGGCATATAGTGTTACTGAAAAGGTCACTTTGATCCTCAGAAGCACAGCTGTTGGAAGAATTCCCAAGCCAAGCAGAAGAGGCAAGGCAGGCATTTTCAGTTTTAAAATGCAATCTTTGGGGTTCCTTCTTGTCTGTGCTTGTGTGTCTAACTGTAAGAAGTTCATCACCAAAGGAAATCCACTGACTCTGAGATCGTGAAACACAGGATAAAGTATTGGTACTCCCTGATGGTGCTGTTGGAACACCAGATTTGCACAAAGTGCTAATCGTAAAGTCTGGTGAGGATGGGCTTGTAGACCCAGAATCTGTCTGGTGTCCAAGCAAATACTGAGATACACTACACCCAGCCAAATCAGTGGTAGATGAGGAGGAGCTCCTACTGTGCTCCTTTAGGGTAGCTGAAGGAAAAAGGAAGAATTGAAACTAGGAATGATACTGAAAAGATAAAACTTTCAATATTCAAAAAAGTATTCAATATCCACTGCAGGACGATTACTAGCCAGCATGAAAAATAATTGCTCTACTAGGCTAAAAATCCCCCCACTTACAAATAAAAGAAAAAAAGCGCTAGTGACATATCATATGTGCTTTATTCATACTGCCAACCATGTCACTTTCCATTTTTCAAGTACATAAAAAATAACTTATCGTCTATCTCTCCATTTAAGGCTCTACTTTTCACAACTTTCTTTATTCCTCTTACATCCTCCCTTCTGTGATTTAATTTCCTCTCATCTTTGTCTTTTCCTTCTTGCATCTTAATCCATTTCTGGTTTCTCTCTACAGCTTTCTGCTTTTAGTTTCTTTCAAAGTTATTTAATCAAATCTATCCTTCCAAACATTTTGGTCCTAACACTTGTAAAGAAAGACCCAACCAAACTGGCTTTCAGGTGAGTGAAGACAATGCAATCACATGTTCTGGTCTGATATTTATTCTGTCTTATCAACCTGTGTCTAATCAGTAACAATGTGGATGAGGCATCATACACCCCAGGTTTTTCCTCTTTCATCCTATTGTCTTCAGACTATTGAAAAAATGAGTTTTCCACAAGTATTCCTTGTGCTTGCTGTTGCCTGTTGCATGAGATGACAATAAAAGCAGAAAATGCAAGGTTAGGCAATTCTCAACATCTTGCAGATTGGCAGAGCTAGGAGCAACAGCAGAAAGACATACAAAATGAAAAAAAGAGAGAAACACATTTAAAAGTTTACATCAAAAGTATGGTTGTCCTCTCTACAGTGGCCATTTTGCCATGAACGAGTACCTTCTCCAAGTCTACATAAACACTAGAGCTTTAACACAGTTTTCCTTCTCTAGCAGATACTTTAAATATCAGTCAAAGGTTTTAATAACAATAAATCCTATTTAAAAACAATGTGGAAACGTTAAAAACTATTTTAAAAATAGATAGGGATGAAAATAAGGAAGAAAATGAAAATTTTTACATTATCAAGAGCTGGTAGAAGAAAAAAGTCTGTTGTGTTTGTGCAACATAACAAAGTTATCTTAAACTTCTAATAAAGCAGGATTATTCATGGATGACCAAAGACCACTTCTGTGCTGCATAAACCACTGTTTGCTCAAATGCCACGGTAGTTTGAGTGTTCAATGATTAACACAGTTATGAAACAAGAGCTAAACAAATGTTTAAACAGTAAAAAGAAAAACGTTATCTGTGAGGCATGCTATATCATATATATCATGTATTCCAAAAAACTAATTCATGTAAGTTTTGGATTGAGATTTTCAAAGCTTTAAGCATCAGCTTACTTACACGAATCTTCAAGTTGAAGATAAAACATGGATTTAAAGGAAAATATAATCAGATCAAAGTTGTGTATTTTTAAAAAATCTTTAGAACTAAGTTGAAGGTTACTAAGCACTGGAACTGTATTTTAACAAACAATACAGATTTTTTTTCCCCAAATATATTAGTAATTTGTTATACTTGAGAACACTTACTTTCTACTTAACTCCACAGATTATTTCACAAGGCTAAACATATTTTTTAAGTCCTAGAACAACAATCCTTGAAATAATTATTTAATAGATAAAGTTTGCCAAGGCATAGATATATCTAAACTTATGTCCACAGAACACTGTATTCCATGAAGTTCTGTGAAGCCCAGGGCTCTGTGCATAAGGCTCATGGGTACGAGGACCAGGGTAGGTGACTCCCTGCCAGATACGGCTACAGAAGATGTAACAGATCTGTCAGTATTCATCAGCCAGAGATTACTTCCTCCACAGTTCTGCTGCCAAGAGGGACTGTATGAAGATCTCCTAACGTACTTTGACTTCCCATGCTGGAACAGCAATTAACACCTGAATACAGCAGCAACCACCAGCACAACAAATTAAGTACTCTTTGCCTTTCTCTGCAGACTGCAACACCAGATCAAAGCTAGCAAAACAGATTATTTTGAGAAAACACTATTTATTTTCTGAATATCCCAGTAATATCTGTCTCTGTATAATTCATTCTTAGATGTGTTATCACACACATGGATTCACTAGCTGGTTATCTAAGTGAGGATGAGACAATCTCTATAAGCCAGATTTGTTAAAACCATAACTTTTAAGGGACAAGAATTTGTAGTGAAAGACTTAAGTTCTACTTAAAACCTGAAGAGTTACATAGTGATGCTGATTTTTGCTAAAAAAACATTATTAAAGCCAAGAATTAATACCAGTTTTTAGTAATTCTCCTATTGATATATGTACTTTTCCTTACTGTTCTTCAATCTGATCTTCAAGTATGATCAAGAACAGAGGAAAACAGCTAGAAAGCCATAATTGTGAACAAAGAAGGGAGGTCTATCATGGTTTTTTGAGTATGAATACTTAGTTTAAAAAAAAAAAAAATCAGTGAACACACTTCTCAGGCACGTGGGAGGAAACAAGTGTCTGTATTAAGAAAGCAAAGGTTGGGATACACAGTAGATAGATGGAAAGGAATTATGGAACTATTTTTTGCAAAGACCAAGTTTCAGGAAAGCCTGCCAGTTTTCTGCCCACACTAATATCCTGTACCCCAAAATCTCCATGCAACACATGCCCTTACGCTCCACTTCCCATCCTTTTCTTCCCAGTACCTTTGCTCTCAGGATCTCACCTTACTTCATGTCTCAGTCATGCCCTTTTTATCCATTTCCCCCTGGATTATGCACATCCAACAATCATTGTTAACTACAGGAAACAAGTTCCTCACAGCAAAGCTGTGAAATGCCTTTATATTACACAGCTCAATCAACTTTCCTGGAAAGCAGAAACTCATCCCTATTCATTGTGCAAGGTCAGCGTGTCTTACCGGTGCTGCAACAGCCTCCATTTAATCTCCCAGCCCTACCAGTAGAACATAAAAGGGTTACATTCTAGGTGGTAAGCAACTTTTTCGAAAGTAAGAAAGGACAGAAGAAAGAAAGAATTTTCCTAAGGTCTCTAGTACTCCCTCTTGCACCTTGCTCTCTAGCTTGAAAGCCTTGTATCCTCAGTTGTGTAATACTTCTAAGGTAGTACACTGCTTTATAAAATTCTTTCATTTAACAGTCAAAATACGTCCCCTTGCAATAAGTAAAAAAATAACACCATAACATCCTCAAGTATACAGAGAAAACATTATTTACTATCAAATATTTTACCTGAGGAGTATGAGGATGCCAAAGAAACTGAAGAGGAGGATTCAAGAGAACTGCTGAAGAGTGGATCCCATGCCAGGAGGTCACAGTTTCCCTTTCTATGTTAAGAATTACAATTGGAATATAAATAAAAGATGTATACATTTATAAAAATCAAACTAAACTTCAGCAGTAGTTTCATAATGTAATAAAAATAATAATCACAGAATGGTTCGGGTTAGAAGGGATCTTTAAAAATCTTGTTCCAACCACCTTAACCTGGCCAGGGACACCTGCTCTGAACAACCAGGTTGTTCAGAGGTCCATCCAAACTGGCCTTGAGCACTTCCAGGGATGGGGCATCCACAGCTTCTCTGGGCAACCTGTTCCAGTGTCTCACCATCCTCCCAGAAAAGAATTTCTTTCTTATATCTAATATAAACCTACTCTTAGTTCTATCACTACATGCTCTTGTAAAAAGTCCCTCAATAATATGATAAAAACATTTGACAAATTTTTCCATATTAGTTATTCTTTGCATCTAAAAGGAAAAATACAAATTGCAGGTCAAAGAACTGATTTACACATAAGGAGATATCGGAATTGACACCTTGGTGCAAGTTTCTGTGTGGGCATACTTCATAATATCAGTTAAATGACTGTAATTTTCAAATCCATTTATTTCAGTATATATATATACATATAAGCTATGGATGCAACTTGGGGGTTGCAATCTTAAACTCTTTACCATGTAACACTATAGAACAGAAACTATATATGTCTTTTTTAAAAACTGAGAATTTAATTTAAAAAAAAATCTTGCATAATCATGTAATTATAAATATCAACTGAGACAGATCACAGTAAAGCAAGTGTATTAGAAGGGGTAAACAAGTTTATAGAAATCTCCATTGTTACATAATTAATTCTTAAGTCTTATAATGCAATAGATGACCAACTTCAAATAGGAGTCAGCTGTTATTTCTGAGTATTAGAAATATAAGATCAAATTCCTGCAAAATTGCATTGACAGAATTTTAAATTTCAACTTACTCATTAGATGGAGCAGAAGGCTTTGATTTTGTTAACTCTTCACCTAAGAAAAACATACAGTATTATCACCAAAACTGTGAAACTATAAAATAAAAATTTCAGTTTTGTTATAAAAAGACAGAAAATATTAGTGTTGGCAGTTCATAATGAATTATTAAAATGGAAAAAAGAAAATACATTATTTCTGAATGCTGAAGTTTAGATACTACTGAAATAAAAGACTACACAGAGTATTTCATTTTGTGACAAAGTGTTGTTCACTTGAAATTTCTTCCTTGAATTATACTGTTTTACTGTTAACATCAATACTGTTCTTCAGCAAATCTGTCCTGGTTTCCCAATGAAAAAACCCTCCAGGATAGAAATTCATGCTCTGTCCTCTACCTTTATGGACATATTTTATATCATACAAATAGAGAGTGTGCTTTGCTGGTTTGTGAATTGTACTAAACATGAGCAGGTGGAAGGGTTTTAAGAACTTGCACAGGAGTTTTTTCCATGGAGTACCCCCTTTGGCTTTTGGATGTGTACCTCACCACTGTCAGAGCCAGGCTTGTCTGGTCCCCATAACAGTGAACAGTCAAGTATATAGATAAAGAAGAGGCATATAAAACTGACAAGAGAAATATTTTTTCCACTTAAAATACAGATATTTAAGAAGCTTATTTTTTCAACAATTAAAAAAAATTTATTTTCATTCGATGTTAAAAAAGTAGCATAAACTAAAAGATTCACACTTACTGGATGAATTTTGATTCATTTGTGCCTGAAACAGGAAAAAAAATTAGAAATAAATTCTTCCACTAACTGTAAAATAAAACAGTTTTTTAATTGTCCCAGGGTTCTTATTTCCACTCAACTCCCCGTGAGATACTCTGCTTTCAATGCCAGGTAAAACATTATGAGCTTGCAGAAGACCATGGAACATGAGCTAGAACAGAGCAACCAGTGCACACCTGCCACATCAGTAAAAAAAGGCAGGAATGAATACTATAGAACTGACAAAGAGAGCAGTATTATTAAATCGCTTTACTGGCCGGGGCAGTAAAACTAAACAGCTTATATATCACACGGTATATATGAAAAAAAATATTCCTAATGCTTTCTCAGTAACTCCCCTCATATACTACACTTACTTGGTTTTAACTAAAAACAGGAATAAAAAACCATTCTCTACTTACAGGACTGTGCCTCTGCTTTAAAAATGTGGTGGAGAAAAAAAGAGAAAAATTATTATGTTAATATGTTATGCACACTATTTTCCTTAAAATCAGAGCCAGTCTTATTCTGATCTGAATGTTGTACTAGCATACTTTAATACTGTTTATCATCTTGTGCTATAAATGATTATTGGTGAATTGGCAGAATACATCAATAAAGCTGCAATGTAAATGTTACATATAACCACATTATATGATCAGTTTTAAAAGACTTGTATATTATTGAATACAAATTAGTAAATTATGTTAAAAGACATGCTCAGTTAACTCCACAACGTATTCAAGTGTCTTGTGGCCACAGCACAAAGACAAAAACTGAGCACTCACAAGACTGAAAGGAAAGTCTAAATCTGAGAAGAGAGATGTATTTAATGTTATATTACAATGAAGTGTACCAAAACCAACCTAGTGCACAAGAAAAAAGAATCATTAAACCTAAAATAAATTCTGAACAGTAAAATACATATTTACACTACAGATCCTCTACCTCTTTTCTACACATTAAAAATACAAGTAAGAAAACTTACAGATATTGCTGGAGAAAGAGTGATGTTCCCTATAGATACTTTTAATTCATCCAAGGAAGGCATAGTATATTGAGAGCTGTTATTTGGCTGGACAGGTTTTATTTCTACATGGAACCTCCTGGGTTCATCATCTTCAGAGTCAGAATCACTGGATGAATAGAAATGATTCTCTTTGGTATGTTTTTCTCAGTTAAGGTGGAAATACCTCAGATTCATCTGCTTAATCTATTTCTTAATTATGCTCCACAAAACGTTCCCTCTTTGTGCGCTTATACAGATGCTTCACAAAATATCCACAGTCCAAAATTCACAATTAAAATTCAAGAGTTTTATTCCATTCATCTCCATAATGGTGACTTTGTTCAGAAAAGTATGATGTCATATAACTGAAGAATGGAAGTATCTGCAATATAATTGAACAACTGCATATTTGAAGGCATCAGGTTAAATAAAAGATTCTAGAGTAGCAACACCCACGATTTGCAAGGCTCAACCATGGACTCAAAAACACATAAGAAAAATGTAGAAATTCTTTCAACCAAGACAATATGTGCCATAACCTTTTTAATGAGCAGTGAAATGTCCATGGTACCTGCACCTAACATTAACAGTGGAGGAAAGTGCAGCAGCCACCATTACTTACCTCTTTTGCACTGTGGCACAGAAGATTTTGCAAGAAAGGATGCCAGTTAAACAGAAGGCTTCACAGAAACAGAACAATGTCAGCTGCTTAAAGCACTGTTATGCATGGAAAAAAAGGAATCACAATGACAACTCAGCCCTCAAAATAAGGAAAATATAACCTTGGCTCTTCATATGCACAGGAGCTGTACTGAACAAAATCTCTGGAAGGGCTACACTAAGTCCTAAAAAATGCATTTGTTTTGGCGAGACAAAATTTGACAATTGTCCTCTATTGAAACATAAAAGTTTTGTACTACCTGGGGAAAGCATACATACTCTAAGTCACGTCTGTTATTTTCACTTGAAAATGTGACAGACATTTGCAATAAATTCCTCCAAACTATTCTCTAACAAAGATTTAAACCTGAACCCCAAAGACATTCCAAATCCATTTCAACTGAAAGGATCTAAAAGTTGCATTGAGGGAAAAGCCAAACGTCTTAATCTTACAGCATATCTGTTCCATCAAAATGGAGCACATCTAGAAAAGAAAGTTTCAAAGACAAGTAATTTTAATTCATCAAAAGATCTCATCTTACAGTTATTGCTGACCTTCAAGATTAATTTCCTACAAATCAGGCAGTTCCTGTAAAGTGCTTTTTAAACACAGATTTAAGTCAGACTTATTAAGACTGTCATAGTAAAATAATGTCCTCCAACAATCTCAAGAGTTCCCATCAACAAAATAAATATCCCTTCCTGGAGGCTAAGGGAGGAAAAGAGGAAGGGAACTGAGGAGTTCCTGAATCTGGTGAAAATTCTCAGAAGCTGAAGTATTATGTAGGTGACAGACTGCAAATCACTGATCCTTTTCACTGACAAAGATTTAAAGCCTTTCCTCTTGTTTCACAACAAAAAGAGATAATACAGAAAAGACACCCAGAGGAATCATTCATCACAAGCATGAATGTTCTTCACTTCTCTCTCCATTTCATAAATATATGCAAAGCATATATTTAATATGCTCTTATCTATGCTCTTCTCAAAACTGGATCCAAGTCTATCACTTTTATATCAATTTTGTAAATAGGAGAGAACACCAAGTGCTTTAATTGCTGCAGGAATCTTCACCGTGGACATTAGAGGCATGTTCTGCAAAGTTAAGAAAAAGAGGGAAGCTATGATGATGGACTGGCACCCTCCAATATGCTGTTAACTGCCTAAAGGTTTTTGCAATTTGAGGAAATTGCACAGCCTAATTTTACTTTTTACCTGCAGTACCCAGAAAATTCAGTGAATACATTTCCAAAAATCAGCAACCTTGCTAACATATTAAACTTGCTTAGATCTACCGTAATGTAATTATTCCCAGCTCTTAAGCAGAGCTTTCCCCTGTGACAGTAGGGAAAAAAGTGGACAAGAATTTTTCTTCCAAAACAACAGCAGAGAAAATTCTTGAGCCTCTATAAAGATGTTTCAGAACAAAATCTATTCTGTATATGAAAACTATTATTAAAAAGACAGTAAAAGTAAAAAGCACCAGTTGGAAACACCACGTGGTGTAACGACACCAGATATAACACAAATTCTATTTCTGTATTGTTCAAGCTCCCAATCATTTTAATGGTGTTACAAAAAAATGGGAGGATGCAGGTATAGAAGAGATAACCACTCCACATGTTTTAAAAATATTACAAACTTTACAAACTCTCTGAGACTTTTCAAGGAGAGAGATCTGCATGGTCACCTTAAAGCTTTTGTTCTGGCTTTTGGTTTAATTTCTATTTTTTTACTGTCCTCTTAAAGTTCCCAAGACATCTGATCTAATCTTTAACACTTGCACACACACAGAACTTAAGGCACACAAAATTCAGTTCATGTTGCAAAAGTTATGAACATAAGAAGACCAAGTTGCAACGCAAGCATAAATGTCATTCATCTTTCTTTAGTTAACACTTCACAGTCAGTAATTTCTCTCTCCAAAGAATTGTAGTAACATCAAATAAATTGGCACAGTAATAGTGAAAAGGATATCTTGTGTTGCTTCTGGTTTAATGCTGTATCCTTCGTCATCTACATCAGGAAAGTTCTAAAAAAAAAACCCAAAAATTATGGTATTGACAATTAACTAAAAAGTCATCATTTTCACATCAGACTGAATTTTATATAATTGACAAATTAAATTTTGATTACAACAACTCATAAAAGTACTTTTTATTAAATATTATTACAGTTCTCTGACTTTATGACCTGTAGTTCAGAAGTTGTGTTAAAGACACCTCAGCAACAGAATACAACAAAACAACCTCCAAATTTTCTGCAAAAACTGAACAGTTTAAATGTGTCTGCTCTTACTGATACTTGGTCCCAAAATATTTTCCCGACTTCTGCTTCTGATTCTCTCAGCTAAGTCACTAGAGGTTCTGATGGTGCACTCCCCCTAGAAAAGGCAGCATGCCTGCACTGTTGCTGGAATATTCACACCATAAGTGCTCAAAATTGCATTCCAAGGTTTTCCTTTACACATCTCCAGCACCATCTTGGACCTTTAAAGCCAATAAGCATCTGGGAACTTCAAACTCGTTTTGTTTCTCAGTTCTTGCAAGTAATTAAATATAAATTGAAGAGAATTATGTTAAAATATCATTAAAAAAACTTTAGGACAGAGAGAAACAAGTCTCTAAAATAATCTAAATTTTAAAAATGTGCAAAACCCCAAATTAATGTATGTTATACATACAGGATAAAATGTACGTGAACTGCTTAATGTCTCAGTAAGTTTGTTACAAAAAAAAGACAACTGAGGTGCCTTCAAAATGCAGTGATCAGCAGTTACAAAAATCTTATAAAAATTAGAATATTAATATAAAAAAGGTGATTTATTCTAGCATAGCAATCAGTTTGTTCTACCAGAAAGGAGATATTGGGAGGGAGTTTGACTAACAGTTTGGCCATACCACAGTATGGCCAAAATCTACCTTGTTATTAAAATCATAAGATATAACCAAATTACTTACACTGGAGATTTCAAGTGGACAAGGAAGGAATCACATGACTTCAGCTAAAGTTTGAAGCCAAATTTAAAGAGAATATCTCTGAACAGCTTTTGAGTTACAGAATAAGACAAACATAAAAATGGAGTTATCCCTCTATTTCATTTACAGATATCATAAATGGGATGTCTGATATTTAATAAAAAAGATTCTCCTCTGTACAGTTTCCTAAATTTAGCAGTCCTGAATTACATGGAATTCAAACACAGATCAAACTTTCTGCTAAAAAGAGTATGAAATATAGTCTTGTACACTTGTATCAAATTAAATACCACATCAAACTAAGGCCAAAAAACAATAGTTAAGCTCCAATAAAGTTTAACATAAGGAACACAGAGATGCAATTTCTTGAAATACTTGTAAGATCCGGACTTCACTGTTATGTGATTAAAAAATAAATCTTAATTTTAATAATAATGAAAAATAATTAAAAATAATAAATTATTTAAAAAAAAAGAAATAAGAGTACAATCACACGGTCCAGTACTTTAGCTCTACTTGCTCAAATCAGAGTTCTTAGCTACGCTTGACCTCAGGCTGACCTTGTTTATATACCAAAGAACACTAATGAAACTTGACATCAAAGTAAACAGAACCAAAATATATAGCTAGAGGGTAGGTATATTTTCCTGTAATATTACAAATTCCGAATCTTGGAATTATTTTAGTTGTCACACTGGGCAATTTTCAATAGATCAGGATCATTCACAGTTAAGATGAATTGAAAACCAATAAAAATCTTTAAATATATAACATTTAGTTTTTCTTGCAGCTGGGCCATATATGTAAGGGATATTATTCCTGGGCACACAGCATGCTCAGCACAGTTGGCAGATTTGGTTATTTTGATATAAAATTGTGGGAGAACTTAGTTTGTAGAAGTTCTTTTCACTGCATTATTTTTAAGTTACTGAATAATCTCTAGGATGAAGTAAGTCCTTAGAAAGCACTAAAATCTTGAAGCATCTACCTTTTCTAGTCTTTCAAAGACACTTGAATAATTTATTCCTCAGCCATGGTCCTTTACCATATACTCTGTTTCCATAACTTCATAAAAAAAGTCAAAGTTAGTATGTACATAAAAGAGCTGGATACTTTACAGCATAAGTTCTGACCACAGTAGCAAAAAAATTTCGATCTTGGACCAATTTATGATCATTAGCACCTACTTTAATTAATGAGATACTGAATTCATATTTTTGTGTAAACCAACAGAAGAAATGGGTAGAAGAGATACTTGATGTGCCTTTGTATTGACAAATGTGTCATGTACAAGCAAAATGGTATTCAAAATCTTATAAGTAGTAATTGAACAAGTGAACGGTTCTGCTTTCTGAAACATCAGAATTTTATTTACAAAATTACATTTTGTAAAAGCAGTAGATGACACAGTGTCTTGAAAGAGACACTCGTGAATCTGATGTTAATGAAGGCATTTATATCTACTTGACTAATTTTTACTCTCTTCTTCACACTCCTAGAGTTACACAGATAACAGCATGTCTTAAATATTGGGCACACAATACAGACACAACCTGATTTGCCTGCGCTGCTGATCAGAGGTAAAGTCCAGAACCTTCATGTACAACTGTGTCATTTCCCAACTTCAACACACAAGATGATGATCATTCTAAACTCTGGCCTTTGGTAAGAGTAGTTATTAATATGATAGGGATCAAGGTCTGGTTTAGCCCCCTACACAAAGATGTGTATTAGTTTTTGAGGTTAAAAAAAAAAAAAAAGTTCAATATGCATGTTATTTGAAGGTTTCATATTCTCTGAGGTTCTAGTAAACAATTAAACATGTAGCTATAAAACACATGGAGTTTTCCTTGTGTTTGCAGATATAACACATTAACTGAGGTCTTATATAGCTTTAAACATACACCAAACACTTAGGTCCTATAACTCTGTCTGCCTTAGTATGTTCTATGAGCTTTCTGCTGTGAATAAATTTTCAAAGATATGAAACAAGAGCTCAATAAATAAAATAAAATTGCCCGTATAAAAAGCTTGAGAACTAACCATTCCATTGACAATACATATTTTTTTTAGTTTTGGTGAATACTTTAATTTCCTTGCTCTGTCCCATTTGTCACCCAAAAGCAATGGAAGAAGTCACACCATTACTCTGTCATTAGTGTCTCTGGGTTGCATATAAAGGACAAGAAAGGAACATGTGGAGCATACTGCAGTGTAGCTACTTTATTTGGCCCTTTGTCTGCAATGCTAGTGCTGCCCGCAGGTGGGTCATTACTCAAGAAGTGAAGAACCTTCACTATGCTTCAGCTTCATTTCTTTCTCCTTTCTCTTGTCCTGGGGTAACTAAGTGGTTATGAGAGCTCCATATCAAGTTTTCCTCCAGGTATGCTTCAAGATACAGCACAGCTGAACAGTTCACTATTTTTTCCGCCACAACTCAACTTCCTGTAATCCAGATAAGGGCTGAGGTGGACTCAAAGCAAGCAGCTGAAGCGCATAGGCTGGAATAAGGGAACAAAAAGCCTCTCCACTTTTGACATATTTGAGATGTAAATTTGACTCTGGCATATCCTTAGGTTAAGACAGAGGCATATTATTGGCCTCCTCTCCTTAGGGTGCCTATTAACACAACAGACACAGAAGAAGAGAGTAGACAATCAGTTTCTCCCATTGTTAGAAATGCAGAAAGAAAGAAAAACAGGTATTCAAAGTGCCCCTGGTCTTGTGCTGTTACTAGAAAGCCTTGCACTCTGTATCAATGATAGCTATTCAAAATATGCCAGAATGAAACATTGTAAAACACAAAGAAAGAAAAATATTTGAATTTCACTAAATACACTTGTGTTCCAAAGCAATAAAAACAGTCTATAATTCTATATAACTGAAGTTATGCTACACTCATATGTAAAGAGGTTAATGAATAGTCTTGTATGCCTTGATAAGTGTTTGCATTTCAGTTTCCTGTGAAGAAATTTTCCAGCATTATGTTCTGTACATCTGTGACTCCCCTGTTAATTACTTTTGAACTTACTGGACAATTTCAAATGGATTTGACAGACAGAACAGAGAACTCAAAGATAATTACATTACTACACTCTTCATGAAAATATGCACTCAAGTAGAAGGAGATAGCAAGTATCCCAACCAAGAGAAGGGTTGCAATTGCAATTCAGATCTTACTGGACACAAGTGGAACATTGTAAATGCTTCCCCAAAATAAAAGTTTTTTTTTTTTTAGAGCTCCTGTCTTCCTAGAGACCATCCCTAGAGACAAGGCAAACCCATGGGAAACAAGACAATTAGTTCAGCCTTTAAAAAAAACTTTCTAGGCAAAACCCACATACAGAGCCAGACTTCAGTTGCTATCTCTTTCTAGTGCTCACACTGTTAATTTTCTAAGGCTTAGCTTAATGGAAGTTGCATGTGTAGACTGACATTTTAAATCATAATAAATGTAGACCAGAATTTTTAAATCTCATGAGATACTGTCACCTATATTTAAACTGAGACTGCTTATTGAAGTAGTCAATCTTTTTAACAAATAACAGTTCTCAGTCCACATCTACCTTCCTACTCATGAACACATGAAAACTTACAGCAGTTACAAAAAATAGTACTTATAGGAATTAATATCTCATTAATTTATTTTCCAATATATATAACCTGGCAGCTACAAAAAGGATGGGCATAAGTGGATGGCTTGCCATAGATAAATTTGAGAACTTCCATTTTGGGACAAAAGACATTTTTTAGGATATTTCACTGTTTTCGTTTTTGGAAAGAGAGAACACAAATTCAAACACATTGCATTATACATTTTGGACTAGTGAGAAGGCCCTAATGGTATTGAATATACACTGTACATTCAAAGATGCACAGTACATGTGGAACTGGTAGATAATGTATTGAAGTCACTTATTACTGAATTCTTAAATTTTAAAATTTCAGTGTATTTGCCTCAGTGCCTATACTTATAAATAAAGACCTGATGGTCTTTTCACACAACTAAAATTCTTGACAAACAAAAGCCACCTTTAAAAAAAAAAATGACCATCATATATAAGCCAGACAGGTTTTCCTTGAGTGACCAAAACTGATCAAAATTGTAACTAGGACATCTTAACGTGAATTTTCTGAGGTCTGGTCCTCAGCACCTCTTGGTAGTCAAAAGGAAATTATAATTGCTTTAAATTTCTTTTTTTTTTTTTTTAATAATACTTTTTCAAGTTCTATTTCTTGGAATGTATAATTTATTGCAAAGATTCATAAAAAAAAAATCCTCATAGAGATAACATAGATGGTTCTAACTATTTAGATCGAGTTTGAAAAATTAAACAGAAAGGAAATCTAAGAGTAAAAGTTGAAAAAACTGAAAAACATTTGAAATAAGACCTTCCAGAAGAGGATTCCAACCATAAAACAAAAAAGCACTCGAGTACTTGTTTGTAAGAGTTGAAATGAAATCTCATATGTGGTATGCTGCATTGTGTTTTCACAAAGATTAAAGTAATGGTGTCTGTTTATTAAAGCATTCTAACACCACATTCAGAATAACATTATTGTTAAAAAAAGAAGAAATCAGAGACTGAACTTTAAACTCCAAATGCAGTCATAAAATATTGGACAGGGGAAAAAAAAAGGAAAATACAACAGAAGCATCAGATTTTATTGATAGACACTAGGAGAATTGGCTCTTTTAAAAAACAAAATATAACTTACATCTAGACAGATTAACTTAGGTGATCATATGGAGTGCCTCATGCACCCAGAAAGAATGTTAAAACAACTTATAGTTGCATTTTTAAGTAATTATTTTCAATAAACGTGGAGACCAAAATAAGCAAAGAAGAAAATAAACACTGCAAGTCAAACCCACTTGCAGTTCACTCCAGTGACTCAACCTGAACTGTCAAATGATATTACTTCCATGAAAAGCCTGATAATTGTAAGGATAATTCCAAAGTTATTTTATTCTCAATGTACCCAAGAAAAGAAATTTGCTCTAAGTCAAGATGACTGCACAGTACAAAATAACTGTCTTGATGAGGATTACACAGCTGTTCTTAGGTATATAGTTTCGTTATGTGGCAAAACTTACTTTTCCCTATTTACAAAAATGGTTCCACTAGATGTTTCAAATCAAGTTTCTCAAAAGAAGTTTTAATATTAGGTACTAAAACCTCCTAGTTATTAAATACAAAGAAGAAAATTCACAAAACAGTGAACTTTAAAACTTAAATTGTATATTATAATTGGCATCTAAATAAATGAACTGGAAAACAAGTTACTCTACAGAAAATCACTAAATTATTCTGTTGATTTTTCCCTACTATAGCCATAGGGAGCTACGATATCTGTTACACATTAGTTCAAGAGAACATACATGTTTAAGCAAAAAGATTCAATTAAGGAAATAAAAAAATCATTAACATACCAATTTTATTTGCAACTGTCACTTATTGCAATTTGCTAAATAAAATTGTAAGGCATATCAAACTAACAACAATGAAAAGCAGGCCATTAATAAAGTGCATTTAGAGATACTGCATTTAAAGCTGTATTTTAAAGAGCATATTCCTACACTGTTGCCAGTGGTAAAGCAGAACCCCATCAATACTAGTAGGATTTCTCAAAGGAAGCATTAGTAAGAAGAGGAATATGATGCTACAAAGTTAGGTCTACAATAACCTGAACCTTTCTCTTCCTTAAAATCTATTAACCAAGGAATTTAAACTATTAACTTAAAGAATAAAGTAACATGTACTTGCAGTAAAAACACCTTGCTTAAAACCTACAACTATTATGTTATTCAAAATGTTATTGTACTCAAAATGTACTCAAATGTTACCGACACGTTTATATATACTGCTGAAGATTATTTACTGAGCAAAATTAACACTTCAAGTATGCTATGAAAATACTAAATCCTCTATCAGATAAACAATGCATTTTAGGGACTGTATGTAAGTTGAGTTCCATCGGACTGTAGTGCTTGCTAATATTAGCATATGCATTTATTTTGGAAATAAGTACTTACAACTGAGTCTGCATCTGGACACTCCCTATTTAAAAAAAAAAGAAATTTACAATTATAAAATGCTCAAGTAATTTTATTCATACAGTTACAAGTACTTCCTTTAATATTTTCAATTAATTTGAAACAGTGCATTTGACCCCTTTGGCTCTCAAGACTACTGAAATTTTTATTTTACTAATCCACATTCAACTGAATGAGATTTAAACACCAGCTGACAGTTTATGCTCAAAACACTGCAAAAGAAAACTCAAAAGAAATTATGAAAAAGCAAACTCATATATTAGTGAGGAAAAAAAAAAAAATAAGGAAAGTGATGACTACCACACTGTATTATGGATGAATATGCTTTAAGATTCAGGTCTCCACAACTGATGTGTGAAACAAGTAGAAGTCATCAACCCTAATATACACATACAATTGCAAAACATTTTGGACAATAACCAGTTCCCAAAGAAATTAAGACTATTCTTAGACGAACTCAAAGCTTCCTCTTTTAGAATTTCATTCTTAGTGTGTGTTTGTCAAGTGCAGTTGCAGTCAAGTACTAGAAGATGCTGAAAAAAATGTGCCCTCCTAGATAGAAATATTAAAAAATTTGCAGAAAGGCAGAGATTGAAAGCACATTATTCACAAGTGTTACATTTTTCCACTGTAACTTCAATTTAAGCAGTCTTATTTAAAATACTGAATGACACTGATTCTCCTTGATGTTTTCAAAAAGCAGAAGCAATTTCATTTATAGAATGTAGGAATACTTGAGTAGCATAAAAGTCCTCTCTAATTTGCATCGTGACGAATAAAGCTTTAAGTGATGGTGTAACAGTGATTTTATATCATCAATCTGAACATCTTAAACATGCACTTATTGAAAAAAGGTGTAAAAAAAAAACTCGATCAATTTTACTGCAGTCTAAAACATCTCTGAAAAGTTAAATGGGCTAAATATAAAAAATACAGGTTTTACTACATTGCCTTAAAAACAAGTACAAAAACTTGCTAACACGGGAGCATTGACATGAAATTCAGTACAGCCTGTTAAGGAACTGACAGTGAGATGAAGGATCTCATCTCCTCTCGAAGGCCTCACACAAAAGCAGACATATTTTAGCAAGTTTCTAGTTGATTTACACCTTATCTCCCTCTGCTGGCTAAACTGAATTCATAGCAATGGAGGTATTCTGAAAGCTATTTTATTACTTTAAAAGAAAAAGCCTTAGACTTCTCTTGAGATATGTGGTTTCAAAAAGCATTTGTACTCAAACAAGACACACTGAAGTCCAATACAGTTGAGAAATGTGAAATATGAAGCAAATTTATGAAAGTAACTGTAGATAAAAACTAAACCAACTAAATCATGCAAATCAGTTCTTAAAAAGAGAAGTGAAATCCTTGGTTAAACTGTATAGCAATATGCGACAGAGTACACCCTGTATGGCATTTCCCTGTGTAAAAGCATTACTAGACCCACCACCAGTTCAGGTGTCAACAGTGATAAACTGAAAAGCCTGCTAATCATGAGTTTTTCTAGATGTGGAAAGCCAGCCCTCCATAAATTAAACAAGTGTATAGACTAACAAAGCAAGAGACTAAGAGAGGACTTGACTTCTAGTGCAGAGAAGTTTCTGTTGACAGAGTTTTATTATGTGCAGTCTTAAGGATCATCAGCTGAAGATGAAATCAGGCAAAATACAGACTACTAATGAAATTTTTTAAAGAGATCGTAAAAAAGTATTAGAGTATTTTATACAAGCACAATGAATCCTATGTTATTTATTTGTGATTTTCTAGTTTATTTAGAAGTCATGGAGTAATGCAAGAATCTCTCTAAAAGCCCACGTCATGTGTTACATAGGAGGTTGATATCATGCCATCATACCTTTTTCTTTCTGCCCTCAGAATCAATTCATTTTTATAGAAACAAAATACTATTAGCACCTGCTGTTCTTAGGTCACGAATTTTTCAGCATTATGTAAAAAAAAACTAAGGCTGGTAAAATACTTTTTAAAAGTAAATTTTAAGAAGTACGTATACAGATGTTGCCTCTGAGAATATTTCTGTCTTGCTAAGTTTGTCAAATTGTAAGCTATTTTCTGTTAAATTACATATGTTCATTGTGGAAACATATTTAGAAATTGTGAAAAAAATACACTGAAATACAGTAACCATAATTACTAATACAGACACTGTGACCAATCCATCTCAGAACTATTATTCAAACTCACTTTCTGGAGAGCTTAACTCCTGGGAGACAGAGCACAAGCAAAGAATATGGCAAAGGGTATACCTGGGACATCAGTCCTGAGCTGGACTGATGGTCTTTGAGCGGGAAGTGTGCTTGTGATATACTGCAAAAACATTCAAAGATTTTTCTCTCCTTTGATACTATATACTATATATTCTCCTAATGGAAGAATAACTGAAAGCTTCAATTCTGCAAACATTGGCATCCAGTACTTTTACCACGCACGGAGCTATTATTTCGTTAGGAGTACACATGCAAATTACATTATCTACAACACTCAAATATAGAAGGGGAAACTATTTACCTATGCACAGGAAAGAATGCAACATGGCTAGACTACTATTGATACACTGATGTTATTTCCTTAAAATGCTTGGTTACAAAAATTGTAAATAGTGGTGATGTTTTCATATTCATTGCATTCCTTTAAATTGCAGTTATAAACCTGTTCTTTGGTTAAACATCAGCTGATTTTTACCCCCATGCTTTAACTAATTTTCATATAAGAAAGAGCTTCAGGGTGGAAATATACTTACACAGATTCAGTATCTTTTTCTTTTTTCATTATTCCTGATAAACCAAAAGGCTTCCTCTTCCGTGGTTTTATTCCTAAAGAACAAACACTTCATTTAAAGATCAAAGAGATAAATACATGTTTAGCAATGTCAAACAGAAGTACATATGAATGCCAATGTTCTAAATGCTGCCTCAGTTGTTATAAAAATTTAACAGTGGAGACTGGTATGGAGCCAAACTAAGTAAGGGAACATCGTTAAAATTTGTTTTAAGTAACATACCAATCAAAAAATAAAATCTAAATATGGCTGTGGTTTTTTAATAGACAATATGTACATTGGCAGTTTTGAGGAACAGGACTCTGCTCACAGAAACTCAAGAGGTGCTAATGGTCCAGGTGATCCTGAACAGTCAATGAGCTTGGATAGAAACAGAACACTGCCTTCCCCAGCTACTGCAGTTCAACACCCTCTTGTTATTTCCCTGCATGTTCTCAGCAGCTGCAAGACCCTGTCTTTCCTCAAAAGTAGGATCCTGGTCCTGATAAAAAGGAGATTGTCTCTTGGATTTCCACCTGATGCTGAGCTCATGATTTCCCAGTGCTCTAGCCAGCTCTCAGACTGGTTCTCACTGAGTCTGGAATCATGGTTCCCCTCTGTTGTTTCTTTCCTGCTTTTAGCACTGGATACATATAGCTACAGTACTGAAAAAAATTTGCTTTCATTCCCATTTAATGTACTAAAATTAAAATACATTTAAATATACCATCAGACTTACTGTCACACCTGCTTCTCCACAACGTTTGCTTAAGCAAAATAGACTGCGAAACAAAATGACTAAGTGCAAGTATCTGATCCAACTAGTCTATAATTTTGTTTTGACGCATGATACTATTGAGGGCATGCTTTTGAGTAGAACAGTGGAAATAATTTGGTTTCCAAAATTTAACAACTGAATTCAAGCACTTTATTATATTCCCCTTTATAGAAATACATTATACAGTGCAAAAGCGCAAACTCTCCCCTTTTTAAATTTTCAGGGTTCAATAACTCCAAACTTCTCAAATTAGTTAGCTGTAGAGTCAGTCATATATACAGAGGCACATCAGTTGCTCCAAGATTATTTTTAGATTTCCAGATTTTATTTTAATTTCTTTCTGTGCCTTATGCAGCTCAAAATAATGGCAAACAAAGTATGAGAGTAATTCCTGAACACGGATGCTCTCTGCTTCAGTCAAAAGAGATTTTAAGACTCAGCTACAACTTTGGCAACTTAAAAGTTTTTATATGCTACAGTTATACTGTCAACTCCTCTGTCCCACAAGAAAATACACAGCTTATGGACATAAAGCAGTTCTTAATCACTTAAAAACATCCCCTAAGCGAAATAAGCTGCGGCGACAAAGAAAGACTTTGCAACCATAACACTAAGTTAGACTTGGTATAACTAACATGGTAACAATGGGAAGAGCCTGGGCCATGTTTTGACACTTGCAAATTAAGTTACAACAGTCATAAGTGAATTAAATCCAAATCTCTGCAAATACAGGGCTTAGCCAAAATATACTTGTAAGAAACACTCAAATTCTCTGACACTTGTGCATTAGTCTTATATAGGTTTTATAGGTCTTATTGTCACTGAATTTTGTTTTCCACAAGGAAAACTGCTTTTCAGTCTACTGAAGAACTTCAAAGTTATACAGATTCCCACACTGAGTACTCTTTGCTTCATAGCAAAGAGTAAATAACTCTTATTATTTACTCATGTAAATAACTCATGTAAATAACTATGCTATGGCAACTTACCTTCAACTACACTGGATGTGTTGCATTCTTCGAATTCAATAGGGCCTTAAAGAAATGACAATGAAGATAAACATTAGATCAAATTTAATCTATTTTAATGACTACTAATATTTCCTGATAATCTCTATATAATCTTATTAAAAATTTAGGTGGCAATTGAAAAGCACAATTACCATGCCAGTGGCCAAAAAGATTGCAAAATCATACATGTAAAGCAATATTTTGACTCTTTCATATTGAAAAATTGAAATACTAGTACCCATCATCTAAATACAAGTCAATTACCTATGCTATATAACCACATGAAACATCTAACTGGTGTCCTCATTCAAAATTACATCTATAATACTGTATTAGTGTAAGGTTTTAAATTCATCTTCTTTTAATGAACAAGAATTGTAGAAAGAAAAATAAAAAAGGAGAAAAGCACAACTGTAGCCCTAATTTTGAGATTCACACATTTGCTAACTCTGCATTGCTAGTTCTAGTGTTTGCTCTCCACAGCCAATTACATACACAGTTAAAACTGGCGTGTAGAACCTTAAACACGGCAATAAAGAAGACAAACTTTCAAAAAAATAATAATTAAGTCTCAACAGGACAAAAAAAAGCAGCGAACAGTAGTTAATTTCTGTATCTAAATAAATTCATTAAATTACAGTTGATACAAGGTGACAGTCAACTGCCATTGCAAAGTAATGTCCTAACCCTCATTCATTCAGTCTGGTCAGGTCTGGAACTTACCTTTCTGTAATCATTTTGAGGGCATGCACACAAGTTTATATATAGACACATTACAGATAAGACAGTGGAGAAGAAACAGTTCTAATGACTTTTTTCTTTAATTAAGGCAGATTCAAAGTATTGACTTGAATTTATTTTAATTAAGACTGTGTCTGCAAAAATTTCCCAGTCAGTAAAAAGGGACCTGTTAAAAGCATGCTTGTAAAACTAGCAGCAGGATGAGGATCTGGGACTAGAACCCATCAATAGCCCATATGTCATAATAAAAATTGTTTGGCCTCCAAATGATGTTCCTGAAAGCAGAACATGAAAAGACAAATCTCAAATGGCAGTCTCAACAGCCCTTTAAATTTCAATTATTAAATCATTTCAAATGCAAGACTAAATATTCAGTATAGCAAGACAAGATGCAAATTCTTAACAATTCTCTCAGTCTCTTTCACATTGTAAATACATAGGCATTTTAAGATGGTCTTCAATCCCTTCTCCTTTGCTCTCCACTAAATTCACAGTAAACCCAAGTCACCAAGATAGTAAGCAAGAAATTCAGAAAAATGCCATAAAATATAAAAGCTGAAGAACAAACCCATTACTTCTTCAGCACTATGTTTCAGACAGCACATTTTTCATCACTTGGCAAATGATTCAGCTGCTTCTATTTCTTGCTTCTATATATATTCCCATTTGGTTGGGAAAAGAAAGGAAAAAAAAAGCCAAACCAACCACAAACACTCATGCCCAAAACAAAAGGAAAAAACCTGTAAACAACTGAGACTTAAACATATTTTTAGAGGAATAAACTACTCAAGCTTCTTCAGAATTCCATCTTTTTCTTTACCCTTTCCAGTTACTAAAACTGATCCCCAGACTATTAAGACCTTTACAATAATCATTAAAATAAATATTCAAGGCTCATGTATAGCTTATCCTTATTTCAGATCAGTATCTTTTTCACTTCTAAAATAAGCAGAAAGGAAAGAATGTCTTTAACAACACATCCAACTTCCTCTGTTTTGCCCATTACACTTGCCAAAACACTTGCTTCTGAAAGTGGTTTTTTTACAGCTTGATAAACTTTTTATTTGAATACACATTCACCCTTAGTACAGAAACACACAGATATCACATGAATCAGTTACAATTCAAAAACATCTTTTGATCCTAACTTACTTTTCCTACTCGACTTTACATAGGGACCTTCTTGCTTTGGAATCACAGAAGTTTGAGCCAGTGGCTGTCTCTAATTAATCCACAAACAAAATCCACAAAAAATTAAGTTCAGCATTTTCCTCCATTGCCCAAAGATATTTGCTGGTTTTATAAAGTTTGTATTTAACACATCCCCACCAATATAACATGTTGCATTTTTTGCTTACATCACAGGCAAATTCATACCATTTGCCTGTTGAATGGAGCAGAGTAGAGTGAAATTTTTAGCATTTCTAATTTTCTTAAGAGTTTTTTTCTGTAACTTCAGACCTCCCAACAGTTCTGCCTCCTATATGCCTGCCATAAAGAGTACCATGTTTTGTCTTTGGCATAGTATTTTTAAATCAAAATAACATTACAGAAATAGACATTTTCTGTGGCACTCCATAGTGAACCAATTCAGAAAACAGGACAGCTGTGAGAAACTTTCAGTAGCCCTTGTAACAGCTGGAGTGTCCTGTGGACAGATGTCTTTGTGTCCAAAGAGGTAATAATACTGTATGCCCAGCCAGAATTGTGTATTGTGACCATGTTGTCCTCTGCTAGAACTAGCTGCAGTCTCCTAGCCAGCAAAGAGGCCCTAGGCACACATACTACTATGGGAGCATAGCACCAATAAAGAATTCAGATGGTTTTTTAAAAAAGTTCCCTCTGCCTTGCCCATTGTCCTTGTGTATATGGAAATAGAAGCATCTGCACTAGCACTGAAGAAAACCCAAACAAACAACTCAAATCAAAAAGCTTTCTTCTCTGAAGCACCATAACATCTATCTTTCTGATTCCTTAATCATAAGTTGCTATAGTTAAAAATTACCAGTGGGCTTGTATTAATGGATCTTGCCAGAGAGGTGTAATATACAGGCAGAACTCAAAACATGCAAACTCATGTACTGGTGTCAAAATTTGTAACAGCTACACAAAGTTTTTAAGGTGGATGCACTATCTCCATGAGGAAAAAATTTTTCTGAACAGACTTGTGCCCAATGGTTGAAGCACAAAGGCTTCATCATCAAGGATTTCAGCTCAAAATCTGGAAGATTATAACGGCTAAAATTTCTGATGCAAGTAAACAGATTCACTGTCCATTGCAACATTCAAAGAAAGAAAAGCAGTTGCTTCAAACACTTCAGAAGTAGAGCTGAAGTTGAGGACTTTGATAAGCCCGTGCCACATGGTAGCCCAAGGCATTGAAAGGACCATCTAGATGTTGCCATACTGCAATGCAGGTGATAATGCTAACACTACTGCTATTCAGCAGTATCGCAGGCAAAGCATTGAAAATTCCTTTGCTCTTTTTCTTATAACAAGAAAACCATGTGAATTGAGAAGGAAGATTGTTCTCAAACATTCATATGAACACAAAAGCAAATATTAAAACTAAAGCAGTACTGTAAAAATCAAAAAGACATTTGAAGACACTCATCAGAGTAAGTAAAAAGTTATAGTGGAGTCTCTGATTTAATGTCCTGTTGCATGGATAGTTCCAGGTTCAAGACAACTTTTAAAGTCTGGCCTGCTGTTACACTGATCTGTTCCATTATTGGTAACTACAGTTTAAACATCTCAAATACCTCTATATGGACTTGTATGTGTTTGATATTGTAGACACACAGAACAGAAAGAAAAGAATAAATATGGTGCATAAATGAAGGTTAGCCTTTATAATAGAAAGAGATATGAGTAGCTAGTGGAGTTTCAGTTGCTTAAGAATACATACCTAGCTATCAGGATGTTAATGAAAATTTAGTAGCTGGCATCAAAAATTAGTAAGCTCCTCCAACTGTATGTAAACATTCCCACCAAGCGTCGCCCTAAAGCATTTTCCAAGGCAAGTTACACTGAATTTTTGAATGCCACAGCATTCTACCAGTTGCGACAAATAAAGACATTAAGAAAAGGCAAATGGATGGTGGTTTCACAAATACATAAGGTAGACAGCTGCTATTTGACAAGAGACTGAAGCAAATACATCAGGACTGGGTCAGTCCTTAGGCTCTTGAAAATAAGGAAGCTTTGGGTCGCTAGAACAGAAAACACAAAAGGTAATTTGAATAAATGGAAAAATTTCATTTTAGTTAATCGCACAGCTTACAATAAGTGACACTAGCATAAATTAAGCACGAGTGAGTCTGCAGCTTGGGATGCATCTCCTAGACTGTTCAGTAACTTCATGTACTGTTTCTCCTTTACAAGTGAGTATGTGGGCTTTCGTACCACTAAAGGCAAAGTATATGGCTAGGAATAGGGAGATACTGGTCTTATTGAAAGACAAATGGAGAAAATGTCATTGTACTGTAAATTATATTACCGTATCTCCTACATAATTAGCCCACATCTATGGGAACAGTATTTTCAGAGTACACACAAGGCAACTACAGACACTATTATTTAATACCTGTTTTTTAATTTACCTACAGTGACACGAATTATCTTGAGGCCAGTCAAAGAACAGTTACAAAACCTCTCTCTGTAAAATCCTAGATATAGGTTTTCCAGTCTATCTGAATAACTCTCACAGAAAATCTGTGTAAGACAGACACTGGGATAATGTTTTGCTTGGGTCAAAATAATAAAGTAATTTGCACTTTCCTGAACAGAGAGGAAAAAAAGGTTTTACTGTCTGGATTCTTAAATAAACAAGTCAAACACAAAAGTCAACTACTATTACTAGGAAGGAAAACATAATATTATGTCATACCCTGAAAAAGTGCCCCCAGTAAATATATCAATGAACTGGAAAATCCTGCAGAGTTAAAAAGGTAAACAAATCAAGAAGTCAACAAATCAAATAAAAACTGCTTTACACTTGCATCTGCTCTTGAAAATGGTCTCCTTTCTGGTTTTGGGAGGATATTCATGACAGAAAGAAACATTATCCCACCAAAGCATGTATTGGTATTAACTGCATTTAATTTTCAGTAACTCGAAGCATTCAGACACTCAATTCCCCCCTCCAAAACTGCCCTTCCCTGCAACCTGAGGAATCAGTTTACACACACGCATGCACACATATAAACATTAACATATCTGTTTCCAGCAAAAGCTTTTAAAACATTCTATGAATCTGTACCTGTGGCTACAAATACAATAAA